GTCTTATGCTGTGATTATGCTAGTATAGGTCCGCTGGAGGGAAAGAAAGTCACTGGTGAGTTTAGTGGATGATGAGCCAACTGTGTACAAGAGGGTAATGGTTAAATTGACTTGTACGATTAAAAGCCTTTCAGGTTTCGAGCTACTATCTGAATGTAAATTACTCTGTGCATTCGCTTGGTTGGTCACATATATCGTATATTTGTTAATCATCTACATTACACAACACGATGTCATTGGTCTGGCACCATTCACCGTTAATGATCTTGATGATAGAAGGAGGTAATCAAATTAACTCTTCGACGATTTTCCAACTTATGGCGTCAACCTGAGAAGTATTGTAGGCATACTTCTATAAGTCCTACAGTTCTTCAAGGTAGCATGTCAAGGTAGAATCCATGACATTCGGTGTATTGATTTTACAAATGTGTTAAGTAATAGAGTGGGTCCCAGTTCGTATATTAGTTGATTAATTTTATCTTTGTCGCATTGTGTGAATCATCTTGCAGTGTTATTGTAAGTGCTTCTGAAGTCTGTAATTTCTTCTATACGGGTCAGAAAATTGTAGTGTGTATCACGGAGGATTCCTGATAGCCTTGTGGAGTACGTAACAATATGATTGTGCACTTTTTGTTAGATGTTGAAATTAGAGACATTGCACATGTCTCTTGTTTAAAACGATCCTTGTTTAAATACATATAACTTCCGAGTACAACTCGAAAGACAGTATAATGCTGGTACATTCGCCTTCCCCCTGGCCATTACTGTCTCCCTGTTCCACTCATACCGTGTTGTATCCCAATCGGACAAATGTGGGGACAAAATGGGGACATTTCGGGGAAAATGGGGACAAAATGGGTGTAGCATCTTTCAAAATGGAGAAGAAATCCACATAATGGGGACAAATTGGGGACAATATCTTGAAAAGGGGACAAAATCCGAATAAAGGGGACCAAGTTGGGAAACATTGGAAAATTTTACTTTACTCGCTAGGCTACTGATAAATTGTAAGTAGTAAATGTTAGGTAGAAAATACTTCACCACTACTTCAAGAAGAAAACGCATGAATTAATTGATGCATTTTCCGTAGTACAACTAATTCGACACTTTCCTATAAAATAATTTAAAAGTTTAATGACCAATCATTGTAGTTTGTTAAAACTTCTTCGGTCAATGTTAATTGCGTCGTAACCAATTTTTCCGGTTTGTTTGCTTACAGTCACACATTGTGCGCGCACTTTTAAACTGTTCACGATGCAGGTGGGTGGTTGCTGTGGTCCCTTTTCAATTTTTCTCCTAGTCTAACTCTAAATACCCTATATTAAGCCTGAAAAGATTACGTGAGCGTAACCTACAACTGACCTGCCATTACACCACATTTTACAGAAGGTATAAACGTAACTATGCGCAGGTAATGGCCAAGATCAAGGCAGCGTCGACGTCAACGGAGGCTGTCACACATGCTGTCATATTGGATCTGAAATACTAGGACCTCAGTGGCATAAGTAAGGAAACTGATAGTATATTATCGAGTCCATTGAAATTGTTGGGAACTGGGGATCACATATTAATGGTAAAGTTGAAAATAAGTGTTTAGTCACAATAATAAATATTCACTAAGAATGCACATGCAACTACATGAATTATTTATAGAAATAATTAGTCAGGTTAAGTGAGGCGCACAGCAAGGTTGAGGAAATTGATCAATTTATTGATCAATTTCTCTGAAATAAATTAACAAGCTTGAATTTATACAATTATGTTTGTAAATCTCAGCGAGATTGAAATGAATAATTCCAACATTTCGTTCGGCAATCTGGTCCGAACCTCTTCAGGGAAATTAATCAAAATTAACATAACATAGGTTTATATATAAAAGGAACATCTCTTGTTTTTAATTGTTTGTCCTGTCATATGAATCATGAAACAGCCGTCATTGCCAGCAAGTTCGCTTGTGCTACAATGCCCGAGGACAAAGTTATGAAAAATTTGACAAAGACTGCAAAGGCCTACTTCCACGACATACGTGATCGTGTAGCAAAAAGGGAGAGCCGGTGAAGAGTAAGTAAACAGTTTTTGTTAAATTAATGTTACTATACTACAAACCATTTCATGGTATAAATATATCAATCAACTAAATTCTATTTTTATTTTTACAGGTGGCAGTTGACAATAAAAAGAATGACCGGAGGATCTCTCCTGTGAGTGACAATTTAACTATCTTAATGCTGTAAAAATCTATAATACGACTGCCTGTAGCGTGTTATAGTCAACGTTATCATAACTACTGCTGTTAATTATATCAACTATGTGTAGAAAGTTGGTTCAACAGTACATAGTTTGTCTATAATGACTAAATTCTTATTGTATGTTAAAATTTACTGACACCTAAGGTCTTTATGTGTGAGTATTTGTATTACAGAGACAAATAATTTATTTGAATTCAGTAATTAAGTAAATTTTTAAAGCTGAATAAACGCGTTAAGTGTATCATTATTAAAATGTCAATTGTCTGTCTGTAGTAGTAGTGTAACAACAGAAGTCAAGGGCCAGGCAACAGATCGTTTTATTATGAAAATCAACACGTATTTATACATATTTCACATACATTATTATAGCTTATGCAAGTAGACAAGCGCAGTCATCTGATTGGTTGTTTATCAGAAGTTAGGCAGACAAACGCAGGCTTCTGATTGGTTGTTTCGGGACTCCTCGACAAATAGAGTTCTCTATCTGCGAATCATATTTTGCCACGTTAACTTTGCTGTGATTGGTTGTTGAATCAGCCTTGCTCATATTTTCTCACGGCCTGCTCTCACCACAGTAGTAGTAGTCTGAAAAATCATTATAGATTTGAATAATATCTCAGACTGTTAGATTGTGCAGTGTAGTGTAAAAATCAATCGATTAGAAATGTATATACTATACACTTAGCAAGCTTTTGGTAGATTTAGTAGGATAGCATAAAATAGTGATCATGAATACATCGCTTTTCTACGCCGACAACGTGTACAAAGGCTACCTGATTTCTCAGCCTGCCTACCTACTTATACGAGAACACGCAAAGAGGTGAGACGAAAACGTTGACTTTCAAACGGAAACAGTAATTTGCGTTTAAGGGAACATAGGAGAGAAAATTGGTTTCATGTGGACGCGTGAAAGAATACTCCTTTGGCGATCTGTGTATCTGTCTATGAGGCCAGTGACTGGCTATCGATCTACAAACAGTACACATACTTTCGTCTAAGCTTAAATGAAATTTACAGATATTCTACTGGTCTCGATGGGTCAACGTTCATACTTCATTTCACATAACAAAGTATATTCAATTACCATCATATGTCGGTGGCACAGTGGTTAGGACTCTCGCCGACCATGCACATGGTCCAGGGTTCGAGCCCACACCGGCGCACACCTGATATCTATGGTCGGCCTGGGAAATTTGGGCCACCGATATCCACGCTGAAAATTCCATACTTGTACCAAAAATACAGTGTGGAATCAAGCTGTAATCACAAATCAAATCAAAAAAAAATATATATATATATAATACAGAAAGAACAGAAAACCTACTTACAAAATTGCTGAAGAGAATGAAAGAAGATTCATTCATAACATCACAGGCATATGAGCAAATAAAACCACGCAGTTCCATTATTCCAAGACTGTATGGACTGCTTAAGGTGTATAATAAAAATGTCCCACTTCTACCTATCATAGATATGGTTAGCTCACCATATCATCAAATCGCGAAGTAGCTAGCTGACATCCTTGAACCAGTAAGGAAACATATGACAAAATATAGCCTAAGCAGTACATTTGACTTCATAGACTCAATGAAGGATATCAACGTGTTTGAAAGACAACTGCTCTCTCTTGATGTCACCTCTCTATTCACAAGCATCCCCCTGACCGAAACAATGCGTTCACATGGAACTAGATCGAAACAAACAACCTAGACGTTCTTCTTCTCATAAACTACCTAGAGGAACTACTTCTCAGATGTACGTTTAATTTCCAGTTCAAATTCAATAAACAATTCTACGTATAGAAACATGGTATAGACATGGAGTCTTCTCTTGGTCCACTCCTAGCTGACTGCGAAACCTGCTACTTACATTAAGTTCGGGGATTAGAAAAATCTGTTTGGAAGACATGGCAGAGAATAAGTTAAATTTATTACGTGAAACCTTACCAGAGAACGGGTATCCACCAAGATTCATAGACAAAAACATGAAAGAGAAGCCTCCGTCGCCAATAATCATAACTTTTCTTAGGAAAACTCTCTTCATGAACCTAGAATTCGAAAGTAGCGGAAATTCTCAGAAACTGTCTTTCTGAATGTCCGAGGAAGACATTTCCAACAGCCACCCCACATATCACATTCTCCAGCAGACAGTTGATCCAGTCTATTGTTCAGGAATGGGATACCGCTTTTGGCCACTTCAGTGTGTATTTATCAATTTACTTGTTCGTGTGGAGCAAGGTATATCGGACACAGTTTACCAGTATCTGATTGGTCTGGAGATTTCTTTGCCAACTATTTTAATTACGACTGTACAGCTCATGAAAATGAGTCGTCGAAAAGAAAATTGCTTCGCTGTTTACGCCTTTTTCTTATGACTTAATATATGAAGCCTGGACATTGTTTAAGTCAAGTCAGAGGGGAAGAGTCTTGACTTGTTATTGGTGACTGACTTGCTAAGCTAAAGCTTCATTATTAATTTTCCAATGGTCAGTAATGTGATACGATAATTAACCAAAGTATTGATCAAATAATTGTGAATTTCAAGTGTAATTCATTGGTTGGTTGTTGCACAATGTGTTACACAGGCATTATAGATAAAGTCGCTTACACACACGCCCACCCAACGACCTAACGATAAGTCAGTCAGGCAGTCAGACGTACGGAGTGATTTCATTGGATTTCTGCATTGATTGATAATCTAGTCATGTCTGTCAATACCGAATTAGTATAAATCAACACAGAGATTATTTCATCTGGAGTATTACACGGTGGGTGAATCGATTAACCACCTGGGTGAGTGTAGATATCTTGTGTATTGGAAATATCTAGAAACATTGATGTTAAGAATCTTTTGTAGAATAATTTCTAAAAACACTGAGTCAGATTGAATCCTTTTAAATTCCCGAAGGTGTTTAGAGAAAGTCAAAAGATGACTTTGCTGAAAGTTTTGATTGTGTGTAAGTTTCAGCCTGATCAGCAAAATTCTTTGGATTTTATTGAACATCAATAAGGATGAAGTTGTTAAAATGTCATTTCAAATCTTTAAATATTCCCATTTATAATATTAGAACAAGACATATAAGCGAACAATACTGTTGTTTTCAATTAGATCTTCTTCAGGCTTTACTCTAATTTACATGGACTTATATATAAAAAATGTTTAACCAATGATAGCTGATTCTTGATTCATATTTAAAAACAAGAGATGTACTTTTATATATAAACATACAATTCTATTTATTTATTTATTTATTATACATGTTGATACCTGTTGCATGGCTCATGACTGGACAAAATTTTTAAAAAACAAGTGGTGTTGCTTTTATATATAAACCTTTGTTATGTTAATTTTGATTAATTTCCCTGAAGAAGTTCGGACCAGATTGCCGAACAAAACGTTGGAATTAGTCATTTCGATTTCGCTGAGATTTTACAAATATAACTTTATAAATGTCTACTTCTCACTCAGCGCTCAATTATTTTGCAACTATCCGGTCAAATCTTGATAGCAGTTCATATGAATGTGGTAAATGTTTTGAACGAAGTTAATAACGATGATTATAATGATAACAAAATATTGATAATAAAGTTTATACTGGTGATAAGAATAACAAAGATAGTATATGCATATATGTGTATATGTAGACAATTCAATAAATAAATAAATAAATTAGGTCCAATCAAATGGAACGATAATCAGAGTTTAAATAAATATTTACCGCATTCCATCGAGTCTTTCGAATGGAATCAGAACCCGTCTTTTACACTTAGCCGAAGCTATGGGAATTAATTCGAGAGAACAAGCCTAGTCTTTGCATACAGCAAAAGAAGTTTGTTCTACCTTTGTCTCCCTTGGCCTAGGTGAATTCTATTCAAAACCCTCCCACCCTTTCTTATCTTCCATCTCCTTCGTACTTTTATGACATCGTTCCATTTGATTTGACCTAATTTATTTGATCCACAAAATCACCGTTATTGGTTAAAAATTTTATATATAAGTCTATGTAAATTAGAGTAAAGCCTGAAGAAGATCTAATTGAAAACAACAGTATTGTTCGCTTATATGTCTTGTTCTAAAATGTCATTTGTTAGTAAATAATTGTGCCAACGAAATGAATCAATGTGATTAGTCATTATGTAATTGTAATGATAATGTCAACATGTCTTTCCTAAGCTGTTATAATACTCGTATATTCGTCTGTAATTGTGCGCTGTTTGTTGTATGGAGAGCAGGTAATTTCGTGAGTGACAAGCATAATATTTGTTCAGAGGATAAACAATCTTTAATTACGAATACTAGTATTATTGTCATCGGTTCGCCGGTGGTTCATAGGACTTCAACAGCACATCACCACTCCACCTTGTTTTCTGCACTCCTATCTAGCTGCCTAAACCACTGCCCACAAGCTTTTATTTCCTCATCAGACGATCTTTCCAATCAACCTCCAAACCACAATCAACTTGTTTTTTTTTTAAATTGAGGGCCTGCCTTACTCATGATTTTATCCAACGAATGAATATTACACTGACTCTACAGCAGAACTCTATGAGGGAACTGGCATAGTGAATTATACATCACCTACAGTTTTGTATAGAGTGAGTTTGACAAGACAAGTATTAGTGTATTGCCTAGGTTTAACGTCGTGAAGCACTCAGTATCATGTCTGAATCCATACAGTTAGTAGATGGACATTATCGGATGGCATTTCCATGGTATCGTCAACAAAAGCTACTTAATAACAGAAAGTGACATTGGTTTGATTGGATTTGTTAAAGAAACGTGCCACACTCAGGACTCAGCTTTTGGCAGAGTATATCAATGTAACGTGCCAATATGTTGGAAGAGATTTTGCTGAAATGACCAGGTAAGATTATGTCAGCGGACAAGTTTGGCATGTGGTGCATCACTCAATCAGTGTTGCCTCCTGAGAAGCCTAGTAAATCAAGGATTGCATTCTAATGCTCATCACAGTAGAAAGGGACATCTTTGAATAACAATTTACATCTTAGTCTCAACCTGATGAATGATCTGGTGGAAGTCTTTATTAGACTTTCGTAGAGAACAGTTGACAACATCGTAGATGTATGAGCTATCTTTCATCAAGTAGTTGTTCCTCTGTGTAACCTAAGTGCTATCAAATTCTTATGGTGGTGGCTGGAAGAGAAGCAACATGCAGACGGAAGCAGTATATAACAGAGTGAAAATACATTCCAATGGATCAACCTCTTCATTAAATTGCACAATGTTTGCGTTACAAATGACCAGTCTAGATGACACTGATATGTTTGATTAGAGCGTTATTCAAGTAGCCAAGGAAGAATTTAATTCGTTCCTAGTCGGAGCAGATTCTGAAAACAGGTGGATATAATTTCACTAAATAGCCTACTGAGCAGAGGGAAATTGTATAGAAAGAAACATCACTATTCTTCCATTGAAAGAGAAAAAAGAGGATGCTAAGTGTAAACTAGGATCTATTCACTGATACTACTACTTACCTTCAAACACGTTATCTTAACATGCGGCTAACAAGGAAATCTCTTTCGTCGTGTGTAGCTTCGACATTCGACCCAGTTAAAATTACTGCAAAAGCACTGTTGCCTGCCAAGTAGATCCTACAGCATACCTGTGGAAACACATCACCATAAGATGCACACCCGCTTAGAGATTGCCTTACCGAAGGGATTTGTTGGTATCAGAATAATAATACCTTAGATAAAGTCTGCATCATACGATGCATAATACCGCCTTCTTGTGAACCACTCAGCTTCATTGTTTTGCCGACGTTACCGACTTCACATGAAGTGATATCTCATAAGTTTGTCTTGAAGATGTTTCCCCACAAGTTTACTGCTCTCTACTGTCGTTACCTTTTAGTAGTCCACTAGGACTGTAGTTAGAGACACGATCGACAGCAAAACAGAAAGCATGGACGCATATTTGTTAATATGTCCAATCCGTCTCCAATTCATCCTGAATATTCCGTCATCGATAGGTTCTTGTTCAGTTCTCTGGAAGACTTCTTTATTTAGTTATGCTTCATGGCCAGCCCTCAGAAGTATCAAGACAGTGAAGGCAACAGCTATTGATGAAAGTCTTCAATGACATGTTGAAGATACTTATGATGACAAACGCGTCAAGTCTCTGAACTGCATAGGAGTACTGATGGTGTTGAGAATCCGGATGTTGTACTTTGTATTGAGTGCAGTAAATTTACAGACTGATTTCAGAGTAGAGAAGGTCTGAGTTGGTTTCCCTATCGTGATTGACTTTCATATTGCCATCCATGCTGTTCATATAAGTGAGATAGATAACTTCCTCTAGAATGATTGCATTCCTTGTGACTGCTAGGTGTTGTTGCTATTGATATTGCGTCTGTCTTCAATGAATTCACCTTAAATCTGTCCTGTCTTTGCTAACACTACTGCTGGCTTGTCAGTTTGTCACGTTTGTGCAAATTTAGACACAAATCGACTACGAAATCGAAATCTTCTACAGTCCTTCTGTTGGTCTATCTCGCGGTCATCTCCTTGGTCTCCACTGTCTGCTGTATAGTCTAGTTAGTCTCTATGTGAAACACCTTCGATAATGTTGATAGACTTTATCCCACTCCTGTTTCCATTTGGAATGTTACTCTCTTGTTTGCTTTGTGAATCACTCGGTATTTAGCATCGTCGTACGAATGAAGTTTGAGAACGTTTGTGCCCTGCACTCTGTTCAAACAGGCTGCTATACCATTCACGCCTTCATAACTGTATTCCAGCGGTTTATTTACTAATGTCGCCATATATCGCTAATCAGGTTATCAGGGTAATCCGGGCGTGTGTTGCATTTATTACCACACTTTACACATTTGAGAGAAATCACACCTTTTCATCGCCATTTGGAAATTCATAAACAGACGTAGTCTCTCTTAATTAGATTCGCATTGCTTTTTCCAGTATTCATGTAATTCATGTTGAATTGTGAAAGTGACTGTTAGTCAGGAAGAGGACTTGATTGTTCTGATGAAACGTGGTATCTAAGTAATGTGAACGGTTTGTGAGTTATTCGTAGACACGTGAAAGTGGGATGTGATGACCAGTTGATGTGCTGTTGATTATGTTTTGAGTGTGAATGGATTTCTTTTGGAGGTGAAAGTCAGCTGAAATAGATAGATGAACTTGTAACATCATAATTAGCGACAGTTTGTGCCTGTGGCATTGAAGCACTTTCTGTCTTACTTCATTGTTGATGTTACAGAAGGCCTTTTCGAAGTAGGTGCACTTGTAATGGAGAGTTGACTGCCATTCTATACACCTTCAAAGATAAGCAGATAAATAGATATCGGATATGGATGTTCAGCACCGAAATAAAAATAATCAATAAAGGCTTTATTGAAACTCATGTCTGTCTGTCTGGATTCAATATACAACTTGGCACCGAAGTGCAGCACTTCGAGTTGCCACGTTCCAAATGGCACACAAAGGTAGACAAGAGGATGAGTGAAGAGAATTAATAGAGTCTGACAAGTATAAGAGTGAAACAGAATGGGTAATGGTAGAAAGGAATATGAAAGATTACAGAGACTGAATACATCTGCGCTGGCCATTGACAACGATTTTGAGCCATGTCACCTATTGTCTCCAGCCATTGATGCCATGTTTTTGTTTGGCCACCATTTACTCTTTTCCAACCTGCACCTATATCAGCTAGTAATGCCCGTCGTCGGGGGAGGCGATGGTTAGGCATGCGCACCACGTGACCTAGCCATCTCAGTCTATGTAACTTTATAGCCTCGTCGATTGATTTTCCCTGTTTGCCCAACACTTTACGCCTAATGCCAACATTACTTACCTTATTAAACCACCTAACGTGAGACAGAAATCGCAGTCATCTATGATCGGAAGCAGTCAACCTTTTCATGTTTTCAACTCTCATTGGCCATGTTTCAGAGCCATAGAGAAGGACGGGGCGAACTGATGAGCAGTACACACGTCCCTTGGTTGATAACCGGATGTGACGCCTACGCCAGAGATGGTGTAAGTCAGCGAAAGCAGCTCGAAACTCATGTGGAACGGCAACGGGGAAATCTGAGTAAATGATATTTGTGAATTTTATCTTTGAATGTTAGTTTAAGCCTACTGAAGCGATCAACTTGTGACAGTTTTCCAGCAATTAGAATTGCTGCCTGAATGATACCTTTAGGTGTCAGTAGAGGTTAGTTAATTCATAGCTACAGTTCAGATTGGGTTTTCCATTCTGTTTTGAAATCTATTCATCTGAATTCAACCTGATTTCAGTGAAAAATGCTCTTCTCATTGAAAATTGGAGGTAATACGCATCGATATTTATTTGTTAGATTGAAATTTGAGTTTTCTTAGTTTCTCAGTCACTGTTTCATTGAGATGCATGGCACACTGGAATTCACATATGCACTTAATATGTTAAATAATTTTTGAATGTTAACTTTATCCAACCACAGTACACCAGTAGACGAGCCACGTGATTTCTGAGGACTTATTCAACTATCACATGAGAATTCATTGGAATATATCCTTGTCCACACAGCATGACAATTGTTTGTTATTTGTTAGTCGATGTAAAGGATATAAATGTCAATTAAACGTCTTCACTGTGATTGTGATGTAATGCTAGTGCTTTTGATTGGCTAAACTATATCAGCCTTACTAAAGTTAGTATACTCAATCAATAATCTGTCTGCCTTTTAATTATTGATAACAAAACACAAATCCAAAAGACTCATTAATTCAATAATTTGAATAGAACAAACCGTGGAGGTTGTTTACAAAGACGAATTTAGGACTTTTCTGGTCACAGGTATTCATCATGAGATGATATAGGTTAGAGAACCATTGGAAAACGTGAGAGTACTGGACAGCTGTTTCGTCAGTCTAGTTTAAAACTCTTCATCACTACGCACTCACCACCAATGTTTGGCTGAATTACAGACTCGGAGTTTGTATGTGTTGAGAGCAGAAGGAAGCAGCTCAAGATGCTGTTTGACTCGTCAAAACGAAACTTAAAATACCTGAAGTGTTTGCAATCGCGTTATATTTTTATTTGAGTTAGTATTAAGTCGGCCTGATCTTATCTATTACTTTTACGTGTAGGTTTATTTTAGTGCGATCCATGGAAGGTATACCACTTCATGATCTGAAGATTTTGTGTGGGTGTGTGTGCGTGTGTCCGACGAATGAAGATTCTTTTAAGGTTATTTTATTTTTGTGGAGCACACCGTGATCCTGCGGCATGCACTGCTCTATGGTTTATTTAGAAAACAAGTGATAAAATTAGGGCGTCTAAGCAGAAAGACCATTTCTTAACACTACTCACTGATATAGTTTTGCACTCTTCTTGTGCTATACAAAATCCACTGGTCAATTAGGTGAGGGTACATTATGGTATGAATTCAGCTGATCAGCCATTTATCTAGAACGCGTTTTGATTGCAGCTAAGTGATAAAACCAAGGACGAAGGATAACAATTCACTGCTTTTATTTGGTAGCATCAGGTGAATACAGAGGACAGACAGTTAAAGTCCTGGAATTATTGATCAACATCCTGGTGGAAGCGATACGCCCAACCAACAAAAGTGCCTATTGACGGTCACAACATGAGTGAACAATCGGAGAATGTGAATTCTGAGGCAACACCCATGTATCAATCCTCCGATCCACATTTGGTTTGGCATGAAGGATGGGATGAAGAAACAGAAGATATCGGTTTTGTCGCTACCTGGTCATCAGGATATCAAAGGGATAGTTTGTCCCGATTGAATTCTTTACTGATTTGGCCTGATAAAGTGGAGGCTGTTGGTCCCCGAATTAAAGTGATCAATGACCAGACGAAATTTTGTTCCGCACATCTTATTGAAGAAGTTCTAAATTACAAGGTTTGTTAGAGTTTTGAATTGATTTGCACACTGATATATTTTTAGTCTGAGTGATCAAGGAGTGACTGATTATTATTTGATTGAAGGTGTCTGTGTGTGTGTGTGTTAGCCGGTGTTGGTAGGAGATATTCTGTTTTCGATTTCGTTTACAGAGCATGACCAATATTTGGGGATGAAGTTGATGACGTGACATAATAGGTCTTGACTTATGCAACATGCACCTTTACGGTGTGTGTGTGAGTGTGAATTGGCCACTGAAGAGCCAAAGTGAAGACGAATTATGAATCAAGCGAATTCGTGTTTTTGCTTATTAGTGAATAAGTGAGTGTCTTCCAAATTGACATGATATTTTCAATGGGCATATTGACATGAAGTGATTTCAGTTTGTACTAGTGAGAATGACAATGGTAAAATGTGCCACGTCATCAGATCTAATTCTCTCGACTAAATCAGAAAGTGTGAATAACGAAACAAAGGAGACGAGTCAAAGATTGCTAGTTAGTGACTGACTGACTGACTGACTGGTCTCAACATAGAAATTTGCACCGATGTGTTAAGTATGAATATCATTCGTGTGTATGTCAAATCCGTTTTTTGTATTGATGAAATCCTTGAGAAGTGTTCATCCGAAGACTGTTCATTGGTAGTTGTTATGTTGAATGCGGTTTCTTCGATTTGATTTCTCACCATGTTAATAAATAAGAGCAGTGCATTCGTGTGTGTGTGTGTGTGAGTAAATGTGTGTTTTTCGTTTTATAGAATCAACTGGATAAAATTCCTGTTGGCAAGTATCGTTCAAGTCTTGAACAAGCTGGTCTCTATCAATCGATTAGAGGTGGAATTGTGAATAGCTGGTAAGCATGGATTTTCATTAATATCAGTAAAAAGTTTGAGCATTGTGGATTAGATCAAATAAAGTATAATTATATTTTAATAGTTTACACACAATGATAACTTTTGTTATTGGTAATATTTCGAGCAAAATTACTGCGGAAACAATTCCAACAGTGGTGTAAACACGGGCAGTAATTTTGCTCGAAATATTACCAATAACAAAACTTATCATTTTGTGTAAACTATTAAAATATAATTATACTTTAATGGATTTTCCTTTTTGTTATAGTAGCAAGTGAAATAAGATAGTTAATTATTTAACTTCATGGTGAATACTCATTGTGACTGAGGATTTGTTTAATTGCTGAAATGGTGAGATACCTTGATTAAGGTGCAGTAGGCTCATTGAACTGAATATCTGTTGAATATTGTCCACTTATTTATATAGTGAAAATAACCAGCAGACTAGATTAGAATTATTATTATTATTACTAAATACTATTGTTATTTCCTTTAGTTCCTAGAGGAACATAGGGCTTCAGCCGAACGTCTCCATTGCGTTTGGTTCTTCGCCAACACTTTTGCTCGCAACCACATCTGCCCACATGCTTTCATCTCCTCTTCAGATCACCTCCTCCATGTCACCCCACCCTCACACTGACGACCAACTAGCTCCGTGCTTCTCATTCGGCTTCCACTGTAGCAGTCGTCTGGCGTGTGATGTCACTCACTTGATTGTTTGTTCTCTCAGAGGATGGCCAGCAAATCAACCTTCATTTCCTTCTGCTTATTTGTTGCACAGTTGTTTCTTGCTGGGTTGGTTCGTTCATTGCCAGAGATCCCTTCCCTGTTGCGCATCTCTGCTGGCCAGCCATCTGATCATGAGCGAAGTATTGAGTGAAGAAAGCTGTTGATGAAGGTGTGTAGTTTGTTCGAAGTGTTCCCTTCGCGATGCGTTGGCCAAGTCTCTGATACATACACTAAATAGCACTTACTTTACATTGAAGTTGAAAATCCAGGTCTTATTTTTAATTCTGAATGCTGAGTGTTGGTCTCCTCCAAAGAGACTTGAGAGTAATGAAAGCTTGTCTTGCTTTCGCGATCATCGCTTTGATAATGTCCTCATCAGCTATGTCCGCCTATAGTTCAAACGATGATGGTTACCAGGTAGGTAGGTAGGTAGGTAGGTAGGTAGGTAGGTAGGTAGGTAGGTAGGTAGGTAGGTAGGTAGGTAGGTAGGTAGGTAGGTAGGTAGGTAGGTAGGTAGGTAGGTAGGTAGGTAGGTAGGTAGGTAGGTAGGTAGGTAGGTAGGTAGGTAGGTAGGTAGGTAGGTAGGTAGGTAGGTAGGTAGGTAGGTAGGTAGGTAGGTAGGTAGGTAGGTAGGTAGGTAGGTAGGTAGGTAGGTAGGTAGGTAGGTAGGTAGGTAGGTAGGTAGGTAGGTAGGTAGGTAGGTAGGTAGGTAGATGAAGGAGGTTGATTCTTTCAAATTTCTCCCATTTCTCCCATTCGAATTAGCGATTCAATATTTTGCATGGACTTTTGATTTGGTGTGTAATGTGTGGTGTGAAGTCGAATAAACAATGATTGAATAGTATTTTCTAATCACTGGTAGGTAGTTTCCCTGTGATTTTTCTATCATACACTTAGACATTATGCTTTGAGCTCTGTTTTCACGTAAAACATTGTGTGTAGATGGGAGTGATGCCATTCGTCTTGGATAAGACAATAGCAACAAGAATAACGACACTGACATCAATTATCTATAGTGAAAATCTTCTCAGCTTCTTCAAATTTCTATTTCATTTAACCCATTGGCATCTTAGGATGGCTTTGTTGGCACTGACAACAACGATGTGGTCATACATATATTTCACACCTCACTGACTTTATAGTAGACCTGTGAGCAGATGTCTGGCGCTCTAGGGGTTGACGTTTCTACTTCCAAATGGTAATGCATGATAATGCATAATTTCATGTTAATTAGAACTGGTAGATTCTACCGCAGAAGGGAATCGAATGGTGTTCATCAGTTTTATTTGGTTGTACACGGTTGTTGTGTGTGCGTGTGCATGCGTGAGTGACTGCGTGCAAACATATAAATGTTGGTTTCCACGTTTCTGTCTGTCGGAAATGCTTCTCATGACTGACACTACATTTACTGTTTTAAACTTGGTAGTAGTTTCTATCCCTTGAAGTAAGGACGTAAATAGCCATGTGTATCCTGTAGATGTTCTTCATTTGTGAAACAGACAGTTTCGTGTATTATCTATCTATCTGTCAGTCAGTCTGTCGGTCAGTCTGCCAATGACTGTAGTGTATGGGATGGCACACCACTGACCATATTTTTACAGCCTTCAATATTCCACGTAATATGACATGGTCACTTTTTGAGAAGTTCAGCGAAAATTAAAAGGCGAACAAGAAGAAACTAGAATCGTCAAAATCCATGGTAGCCAAGGTAATGCTCTTTATTCAATTATTCCATTTTATTTTTTTGTGAAATATTTATGTTTATTTGATATGATCACGTTTACGCTTGAATTAGGTACAAAGTAATAATGGCTTGTATCGACAGTGTACTCAATGGAATGTTTACAAGTGCTGCTAATGAGGATGTAAGTGTTCAGTTCATCGGTAAACTTAATAATACTTCTACCCTTACTATTATTGTTATTATTATCATTACTATTAATAATTCTGTTCTTATTGCAAGTTGGACTGTTAATTGTTTATTATTACTATTATTGTAATTTTTCCTCTGGGTTCCTAGCGGAACACGCGGCTTCAACAACACATCTCCACTTTCGTCTATTCTATGCTGTCTTCTTTATCTGGGTCCACGATTACTCATAATCTCTGATATCTTCCTCACACGACCTTCTCCATGTCACCCTGGCACCGACGGCCCACTCGTCACTTCCCATTAGAAAGACTTGATCGGCGGTTGGCATTAGTAAGAGGAGCATTAGAAATCCTGAGAGTACTGGATAGATGTGTATCATCCTAGTTAGGGACACCTCAGCAGTCCACACCCACCACAGCAGTTAGAACCCCCCAACATTGCCCATGGTAGTTGATCTTGTAGACCATTCAGTCACTGGGGCCCTACTTAGTGGTCGAGATATGAATTCTACTTCCAATAATTCGTGATTTCACTGTTACCAACAGTCAGTGTCACAGGCGAGTAACTCACCTCTTCTCTGACTTGGTGGATCCCGTTGCTCAGAACTTCTCACCGGTAGTGCAATGCATTGTTTTAGAGAATGCCCACATATTTTACTCAGTGTGATATTACACTTATCTAGTGCATATAATGACGACGGTGTTTGTGAATGTTAATACTTTGATGACTGAATCCAATACTTAGTATTGTCACTTTTTGAGGCGAATTCATGAATACCGTGGTAGACGAAGTCTTCTGTGAGCGAGAAATCTGACATGTTGAGTACGCAAAAGCATAGACAACGTTGGAAAACTTGTGAAATACAAGAATGGGTAGTTAGGTATGGTGTGATGGATTGATGATTGAAGGAATTAGTTGGATTATGATTACTATTCACTTGTTGAAATGCTTCACTAATATTGTAGTAGTTGAAGACTTTGGATATATACTATTGACGTTATTTGTTGGTTGGTTGGTGACTAGCAATGGAATCTAGGGTGCGCATTTCGTCCTATTTGGGACTCATAGTGTGAATGTAGCCGCAAACCCAACTGATTGATGATGTTGCCTCTGAGACTAGAACCTACAGCTCTTCACCTGCAATGGCAAAGCGTTATCCACTGGATCACTTGGGCTACGAGACCGACCTCTTATGCAACTCGGATAAGTCATTATCATTTTCTGTAAACAAGACATGCACTATATTGTTTTTATTACAGCTTGATTCCACAGCGTATTTCTGGTACAAGTATGGATTTTTCAACATGTGATACCGGTGGCCCAAATTTCGCCCACCGACCGTTGATATCAGGTGTGCGTCGGCAGGGGATCGAACCTCGGACCATGTACATGGTCGGTGAGAGTCCTAACCACTGTGCCACCGACGCACAAGACGTATCTGCAGCGTTGAAGGAACTCACGTCCCTTCTGAGATTCGAATCCGCATCACCCAGTGCTGCAGTCAGAGGGGTTTCCACTGAACTATTCGGGCGAGTCAGCTATGCATTTTTCAACTCAGCTTACCTATATCTATCGGTAAACATTCCTTTCTACCTGCTATACAGCATTCCCCGTGCGAGCTATTCCCGAATTTAATTCATGTATGTCATATGTGCCCAGGAACCTCATCTCAAGAGTGTACTAGTTTAGTGGTTTAGTAGACGGTGTTAAGTAAAGAAAAAAGAAAAGTGGATTGAGCATGATGCTGCCAACGCAGTCTCGGAAAATCAATGTAATAGTTAAACGATCTTCAAAAATCAAAATAGCATTGTCCTAAGGATAAGAATCAGATGTGAGGAAGGCAGTTTATATGTGAGATAGTAAGCTTTATTACACACTTTTATTTTATGAACAGGATATTTTATACTTCGCGGATGTTTCCTCAGCATCCTGTGGCTTTTCAGAATATATTTTATGGATATATTTTCCCTTGGATTTGCCTGATTCCCCATGGAACTATCTGTTCAATAATGATGATGATCGCAGTTGTAGCAGCTCGAATTCAAGTGAGCCGCCAATACTTTCTACCAAGGGATTCTGGTTTACCTCGTCCAATGCTGCAGAAAAAAAGGATAGTGATGTTGCTCCAATGGTAGCCCGCATGCCATACTACGGTGATATCACGAAATGGGTTGATTTGGAGTCGTTCGCTTCCTTGATTAGTCGTGGTTCGAACGGTGTTGGTGTCCATATAGTGTTTGCAACTCAGGTGAGTTGAAGGACAGATAACTGCTTCACATGATTTCTTATAACAACAATAATATTACTAATAATAAAAATGATAATATTGATAGTATAATTGTATTGATGAAGGTATTCACAGTTAGTTATTTGTTAGACAAATGGATGAGGTTGACTTTGCGACAAGAGTTCAATAAACTGTGGTGTAAAAATATACATGTGAATAGGAATTTGATAAATCGTGCAGTAATTGTAGTACACATTGTGGGAAAGTGTTGTTAAGAATGTCGTGCAACTATTTCCAACGTTCGCTCACTTGTTTCCAGCATCGACCGGTTACTCAAGCGATCAGTCAGTATTTTTAATTCGAAACTCGTCAGTAACCAGTGTAAGGTGTCTACTCCCATTTTAGGTGCAGACTGAATTGTATCAGTCAAGTTTTCAATGTGGCCACCATGTTGCGTGGCTGCTCGCCATCACAGTGCACTGTAAACTGTTGGTATTAGATGGTTGGAGGCGATCGGCAGGAAGTTTTGCACCTAGGTTTCGTGCTAGTTGGCACTCATCAGTCAGCAAGGCGTATGTACGACCTCGAAGTAACTCGTGTCCCTTAGTCAAGCGTCTAACAAACCGAACAGTAGCACTAAGTAGTACAAAAAGAGACCTTAATGATGAAATAAAACTGATAGAAGAAGCGTTGGTGTCAAACAACTGTCCTATAAAATTTATTAGGTAGATCAGAAGGGGTCAAAATAAAAATAATGGGGAAACTAATAAATAATATAAATATAATATATATAATATAATAAATAACATAAATAAGAAAGAATATAAGGCATCTACAGTCCTACCATATAAGGAGGGAACATCTAAGATCCTACGTACGATTCTTAATAAAGCAGGAATTAGAGTAGCATTTAAACTTACAATCTCACTCAGAGACAATTCCATATTAGTTTGTTTATTAGATGTATCACACAATGAAACAATATTACTGTTTACTAGATGATGTTTCGAACAAAATTTGTGTGTAATTGCATGTAATACTATAGCTGAACGATTCTCTATTTTACACATAGAAGATAAGAAATCTAGAGAATACTTCAGCCATAGCATTACGTGCAGTTACACACAACCATACAGCATAGGATAGGATTGGATAGGATGACAGTTTTAACATCTAGTGTCACAAGGTAGAGGAAGAGATTGATAACAGAAACTTGGTTTATCGAATCAACTGGAAACACATGTCACAGGGATGACTGAACACTTGTCCATTCGGATATCTGCAAAATTCCACTACCCCAACGACAATAAATAGGAGAGAACAAAGTAAACTATAAAACTCAAGTTTTGAAGTAGTGTGATTACAACTGATATGATTATGAACAATAATAGATTGTGTTCGAAACTGTGTCATCCAGTAAATATTAATACTGTTTCACTGTGTAATACAACTGATAAGCAAATTAATATGGAATTATTTACTACCACAGTACCCAAGTTTTATACATATAATAACGTGCCTACACATACATTAATCACTCAGAGACGAGCTCTGAAGGCTTAAGTACCCTGTCAGTTGACTCACTTAAACAAAATAATATAATTTACAAAATACTTTGCAATCACTTTTAGTTAGGTCAATTACATAGGTCAAACTCGTGAATCAGGAGTAGCGAGATTATCAGGACAAGAATTTTGGCTAAGGTTCGAATGACTGACCTTATGAAGATAAGTAATTTAGAAAAAAGCTCAGCAATTGCACTGCATGCATTAACACAACCACACAAAATAGGGGTGGGAGGGGGTTAAAATTCTACAAATTAATGTAGGTTGGTGGAGAGAGAGATGGTTGATTACTAAATCCTTGTTCACCGAGTCTGCAATCAACTAGTACAATAGGAATGGTTAACCACTCATACTGGAAATAAGGAAAATACTACTAGCAATCAAGTCAAGCGATGAAAACTAATGGAATTATACAAACGAAGTTAGAAAGTTGTGTGAGTGGTGGCTTGATATGATTATGAATAGCAGCAATAAATTGTGCTCGAAACGTGGCCATCAGTATATATGACTGCATAATAAACACTGTGAGACTTTATCAAAATAAATTCTACCCATAATAGAGTGATTTTTAAGAAATTGAATAATCCCATAATTTATTCAGGACAAAATAGTTGAAGTGAACAATTGTGGTTGCAATAAATCCTTCTTCTCCAGGCTCTACAGTTATAAATCCACTAATTTAAGCATAAAATATCCAGCCAATGAAGGCAAATTAGAATCATATCAGAAAGTGTGGAATCAAGCTGTAGTCAAAAAGTGTATTGTGGAACAAGTATGAGGTGGGATGCAACAATAGTCAGTTAACTTTCTGAATATGCATCGTCAATGAGAAGATGGGGGGAAAATGAGATGAAGTAATTTAATCTAATGACGGGTATATATATATAAATGTAGTCAACAGAAAATACAGGTTTCAATAGTGAGTGTAATCAGGGTGTGTGAGACAATATGAAAATAAACCAACGAATAGGGCGGTCTAGACATAAGCTCAAGGTTGAAAATAACAACAATAAGAATGATTGTAAAATAATAACGATGATATGGTGTAAAATTACAAGTACTATTGGTGAATGATTATCAAATAATAATAATAATAATAATAATAATAATAATAATAATAATGAATATGAAATGGAATGAACAGGATTTTGTAAATACGATAACAAGTTAGAAAAGCACTACTTAAACCCAAGGTAGTAGAAATCATAACAAAGGTCATGAAATCATAAAAAGTCGAAAATGAACGTTTGTCAGTGAAACAGAGGAATAGAAGAAGGAAAAGAAAAGAAAATTGTGGAAGGAATTTATACTGTTAATGGAGGATTTGTTGGCTTTATTGTAGGCCAAGGTAAACATAGAGGTTGAACATACTTCTTCTGTATGCAGAGGGATGGTCTTCTAGTAATAATTGCAACTACTTCAGCTACTGATAGAAGACGTAGTCGAGTTCCTCTAGAGAAATTACTAGGAACGCGGAAAATAACTGAGAACGCTTGGTCAGGTTTTATCGGGTGTCCAGTATCTACCAAGTGGGAATTTGGTTACTCCTTTACTCAACCATACAGGTAAATGTTCATACGCGCGCGCATGGATAAAGCCCTCTGAGTACGCTCAATGTAACTGGCTCCACATGAGCAGTTGAATTCATAGATGCACGTTGATGAGGCCATCTTTGGTAATTTATCCTTTACTTACTGTGTGAGTACTGATCTAGTTGAGAAGTTGAGTACTAGTTTAACTGCAGGAAATGTTCTACCTACTGCTCTATTAAGTCGACAGTTTAGAATGTCAGCTGCAGTTTCCCATTTGTAACTTAAGGTATAAAAGTTTCTTACGTATGGTATCCATCGTGACCATATCTCTAGGTATAGACATATACTTTTTTAGGAAGTTCTCTGGGTATCCATTTTCCCGTAGTATAAGTTTCAGTTTACACAATTCCTCCTTAATGCATTCCTCTGAATATATGCATTTTATTCTATAACTAACTAAGTTTCTTTTGTGGCGAATTGGTGTGAAACTATAAAAATGAGTGTGATGACCCAACGAAGTCTTCCTTCTAAACACGTTCCTCTTTATATATCCGTCTGTCTTCATGGTAGGGAAGACGTCTAGGATAGGTAAACTGTTATTGTCTTCTTCTTCCCATGTAAACTGAGTAGCTGTGTGAACACTATTAACACCATTCAGAAGCTCTTGTTTATTAAGATTTGTATCACAAACTATTAAGGTATCATCCACATATCGACAATAATAGTCAAGCCCTTTAATCGTGTCTTTAAGTGGACCATCTTCAAGCTTTACCAGCAAAATATCCGCTGGCATAGGGCCCAGAGGTGATCCCATGGTAACACCATCAACTCGTCTATAAAAACCATTGTTGAACATAAACTGAACATTCATAGTGCATTTCAATAATAATTCTTTGACCTTTTCGGGTGGGATTCCTACATGTATTTTCTTTTCTATTAGCTGGTTACATATATAGTTGACTGTTTCTAGTAGTGGGACGTTGGTGAATAATGATACTACCTGCATTTTCTGTTTACTATATATATATATATATATATATACCCGTCATTAAATTACATTACTTCATCTCATTTTGATCCATATTCCCATTGACCGTGCATATTAAAAAACTAACAGACTACTGTTCCATCCCATTTTATACTTGTTCCACAATACCCTTTCTGATACAATTCTAATTTGCCTTCAATGCCTGGATATTGTATGCTTAAATGAATGGATTTATAATTGTAGAGCCTGAAGAAGAAGAAGAAGGATTTATTGAAACCACAATTGTTCACTCTAAATATTTTGTTCTGAATAATTTTTAAGAGTTTATAAATTTGCATATTGTTGATTTTCAATATTACCTGATAATATCATCCTGGTATTGGATTCCTCCTGATCTTTGTCTTTTCACTAGTGGATTCAATACAGACTAGTTGAGTCTTCACTCCTGCCGCCGCTGCCATTTGTGTGTAGATCAAATTGATTTCGTGTTATCAGAACCATGTTTTTTCAATCTTAAGTGATTTACTTGCTTTCTCTATAGTAGTACTTTTTATAGTATTAATCGGTGATCACTTTCTTTTGTTGTATAATAGAGTGAGAGGAATGTATGTAGAAAAGCAGTTTGAGAAGTTTAACAAGTGGTTCGGTAATTTTTTTAATTGATTGATTGGTTGATTGATTAACTGACTGAAATCCATCGATCTCTTTCTGACAAGCGGATTTCCTTGGACATATTGTATCGTGTGTCAGTGAGAAGAGGATGAAGGGGTAGATATTTTCGTGCTGAATCCTTGTTTCCTTCAGGATGATGACTTGAACAGTTTTCAGAATTCTCAAGGATTTGTTAGAAGACATATTCTACTCTACTGTTTGAAAATAAACAGAACAATATTCGTGTGTTCTTGTTATCTACATATCCCTGCTCCACTGAATATCGGTTTCTAGTATATCTAAATATCTTTATCAGCCTACTTCTGCGCTATTGATTCTCATTCCTCTGATGAGAATTTCATTTGTAAAGGTATAATTGTTGACAGTTTTGCCAACTTCACTTTCTGTAGAATGTATGATTCAAGAGTGATTGAGTTTCTGTTCCTGGTGTTTTCAGTATGACTGTACAATTAACCTAATTCATATTTGACCATACTGATGTTTGTAGTGTGTAACGACAGAAGACAAGGGCCAGGCAATAGATAGTTCATCGACAAAATAAACGGATATTTATACATTTTTATGTACTTTATTATTTGCGTTATTGTTAGCAGACAAGCAACGTCTTCTGATTGATTATTTTCTTGCTGAAGGTTGTTCTGTACTCCTTGTAACCGTTTCTGTGAAAGTTAGGCTATATATCTGCGATTCGTATTTGCACACGTTAAGTCTGCTGTGATTGGTTGTTGAGTTCCTCAAGGTTAAGCTATGTCATTCTTTTTCTCATGACCCCTATTCGTGACATAACATTGACGTAAATTGCTGTCTACGACTTTTGGCTTGCAGACAGCTCTCACCACAGTAGTACAATTGGAATAGTTCAGCTGTGAATAAAAACAATTGAGTGGATGGAACTAGTGAACTTGAAGTAACAACCCCTTCGGCATACTTTAACGAAAGCACGATTGAGAAAAACTGTGGAAATTCGATTAATCGATTGGCGATGTGGGTTCCAGAAAACAAGTTGTTGTTATCCATTAGGAATAAGGGAAACTGAAGTAAGGTGTTGAATATCGATTGAAGCTTTTGTGTAAGTGACCAAAACCGTCGGCGTATTCTTCATTTGTGGAGTCTACAGAATATTAAAATTTCTGTCATTTGTATTTAATATTATTCGAAGCATTGCATTGGTATCTGAAGGATTATTGTTGTTGTATATTCCAGGGTGTATCTGTTGATGAATTGCGTGTTACTGACAATATTCAGAGTAAACATACTTTGGTGTGTCAGTGTTTGTGCGCTCTGACAATTTTAAGATCGAGTGAGTTTATATGGTGTCTGGCGCTTTACTTTTAGTATGAATATGTACATGTACATTGGATGTAGGTTTGAGAAGGAATGATTGGTAACAGATTGAATCAAGAGTTGACATCAGTTAGAAAAGCATTGGAAATCCTGACAGTACTGGACATCCGTTTCGTCCTAGTTAAGGACTCTTCACCATAACGCACCCACCGTGACTGGAACCCGGAACCTTCTGGTTACAAGGCGAGTTACTAAACGATTAAGCCACTAGGACCAGGTTCAATGTACTGCTGAAGAGTCCCAAACTGGGCTGAAGAAACAGCTGTTCAGTACTCCTTTCAGGCTTTCCAATCGTTTTCTAATTGATGTCAGCTCACGATGAAATCCTCCAACCAATTGAACTAAATCCCTAATTAGCCTAATGATAACTATGTTTATCTAAGCGGTTCAAGGAGGGTACAATGTATCCCCCAAAAATATCGATTATGTTAAAAATTAATTTAGCGAGAAAACTGATTTGCCATAGCTATAAATAAAATCAGTGAATTTAGACGTGTTATGGTATTCTCTCATCCATCTGCTTCTTTCACGTGTTGACTTTTATGAAACAGGTTTCAAGTGATTCTATACTAACTGGTTGACTGGGGGAATCACACACATGCACACAGACAATGCGAGTGGTGTTGTTTATTCGACACCGGCGTTTCCAACATAACTTGTTAATCACAATCATATCGTGAACTGTAACTATACAACTTCGAGACTAGATCTTCGCCATACTACTGTTTTTGCCCTCCTTCCTTCTCATTTGCTGTAAGGGTGGTAGAATTTTTCAGATGTCTGGAACAGATATTGAATCTTAGTTGACTAGATAAGTGAGGCTTCAGTTATCAGTCTCACCCACCACCGATTTCGTCCCATCCTATTTTATGTATGTGTGTATGACAGCATTCGCTGCTTTAGCTGACTGAGTGATTGCCTAGATTGTTTACCTTATCAGAGTCAACTCATCGACAGATAGATTTCTGTACTGCGCGAATCTAATTGACGACATCCTACTATCTCGGTCTATGTATCTGATCTGAAATGTATTGCAGGGAATTAAATAAACTGAATCACTTTGTTGAATAGGTTACACAGGATCCTTTAACTGTCATAATTCATCTGTAAGTGAATTTGTAGGTATGAATGGCACCTTTAATCCTGCTTTGTCAGAAAGTCTATGAAAGGTTGCAGAGGTTCCTTGTTTCTATGGAAGTACTTCCAATGTTTTGAACTCCATATGTTGTTGTCATCCATCTGTATGTATGTGTGTGCGTTTGTCATGCATGTTGTCACTATTAGGATTTTTAAAACAAGCCATAAAGAGTAACAAAGCAGGATTTTATTTTATTCATCAAATTTCGGTAGAACTCGTCAACTGAATACTCTATATACATGCAGGGATATATATACTATTGAAATTACATTGTGAGATATAAGACTGATAAGTAAATAAACTACATTGAATTTGTTATTCGGAAAGACATGTGAGAATGTTTTCCAGGTCACGTTCAAATAGATAAGTGGGGGAGGGGAGTATGAGAGATTGCCTGGCCCTTGTCTTTTACGTTAAAGTATTATTGATATTACTCAGTTCACTGAGTTCTTGATACATTCAGGTTCCTTCTATGATAACTGATTGTTTCTTTAAGTGATGTAATTGAACCGCAATGCATTTTATCTTAACTTTATTCTCTCATACTCCCCTCGTCTTATCTATTTGGACATGAGCTGAAAGGAATTCACACCTGTCGTTTTCCATAATTAATTCAATGTAGTTCATTCGGTAATGAGTCTTATATCTCCCGATGTATTTCTAGTATTATATATACATATATATACCTTTTTATATGAAGTATTCAGTTGAAGAGTCCTACGGAAATCTGATGAGTTCATTTAATCCTGCCTAATTAACCTTTGTTACTTATTTGTTTCCCCGGTTGTTTTGAGCATTTCACTAATTCCGTCTAAAATGATGTGGGTTGAGACGAACCGATATCCAGATATCGGTTCAAATATTTCTCTTTTCTGTAAATACGTGTATTTCACTTTCCATCTTGTTTCCTTTCGATAGCATAATCCAGCACTCAAAACACCCATCACCTTTCAGCTTGTAATCGAGTTGAATTGCTTCTACACACATTCGTAAAGAGGGATTGGACGACATCACAACACAAAAATTTGATTTGATGAAGTGAAGACAGAGAGATTTTAACTGAAGCCTCATTTATCCAATCAGCTGAGAACACATGGTTCGACATCATTCTGTAGGTAATGAGTGGACGACTTAGGATGTTGAAGCTTGGTGTATTGCTTATTAACTCAAATTTTTGTAATGTATACCACTCATATGTTTTATAAAGCAGCACAGTCAGTTGGACTTGGCTGACTGACACTAATCATCATCATCATAACTTGTATTCTAGGTGGTCATTTTCTAATGGGATTATTCGATACGCTCACTGAGTTCACTGCTGGTCTTATCTATATAATGGGACATTTATTTGAAGAGATTTTCATCATTAAACCTATAGCTTCCGATCAATTAAATCCCATAAGGTTAGTCTGAAAAAGTGTGTGTGTTTATACCTGCATCGATTTATGTGTTTATAGAAAGGGGACAAAATTTGTCAATCATTTTTCCGGAGGTTTGACTGCTTGCAGGATCCACAGTATTTGTAAATTTTCATTTAAATTACTCTGAAGAGTTGGATTTGTCTAGATGGAGTAGTGTTCAGTGTAGATTTTATGACGAATTGGCATTACCTAGAGAAACATTGAACATGAAGGTAGACTGGACAGTTGTGGCATCAAAGGTCAGTATTCTACATGAGTATGCAGTTATCACCGCAAGAACATTTGTGAATTCATGGAATTTCGGTAGAACTCGTCAACCGAATACTCTACATATATGAAGGGATATATGTGCTATTGAAATTAAATTAGGAGATATAAGACTGATAAGCAAATGAACTACACTGAATTAGTCATGCAGAAAGACAGGTGAGAATGTTTTCCAGACCACGTTCAAATAGATAAGTGGGGGAAGGGAGTATGAGAGATCAAAATTATGATAAAATGCATTACGCTTCAACTTCATCACTTAGATAAACAATCATTCATTATAAAATATATCAAGAATTGCTAACAGAGTAATATCAATAGTAATAGTTGTAATATTAACAATAACATTAATAATAATGTTGAAGTGAGTTAAGATAATATTACTGATAAAGCATAGTTTTAAATGAATCGAGAATAACAATAATAATAATAACGACAAGAGGTAGAATAATAAGTAAAACATATTACCATGGTTGATTCATAGTGACAACCATATCCTTTCGTACACAGAGACCTGGTTTATAAACTCGAATCGCACATGCCTCATGCTGTGTGCGTCGGTGGCACAGTGGTTAGGACTCTCGCCGACCATGCACATGGTCCGGGGTTCGAGCCCACGCCGGCGCACACCTGATATCTATGGTCGGCATGCAAAATTTGGGCTACCGATATCCATGCTGAAAATTCCACACTTGTACCAAAAATACAGTGTGGAATCAAGCTGTAAATAAAAAATAAAAAAAATAAAAATGCTTCTTTGTCTTCTGACAATAGTGAATGACTTCACAGAGTCGATATCATGTGCATAGTCCACAAGTTGTTTTGTTATTGAGGTTTCTTGCATTTTGGAAAATGCTCTATCATGCGAGTAGACAATCGCCTTTATGTACGACCTATGTATTTGCTTCCACAAGCACACTGGAATTGAAGTGTCGAGGATTGTGAATCGTTGGCAGGGTATACAGATTGCGAGGCAAACAGCCAACTGTTCAGCCACTGGATTTGCATATGATGAATGACCTATGAATTCTAGATTCTGTAGGTGATGTGAATTCTACCGTGGAACAGAACTATTTCGATGAGAGTGAGTACTGCTGATTGGAAATAAAACTGAATTATTTTACATCCATGACAAGAATGAGTGTACTCGATAGAATGATTGACTACGTTTGTCATTTCAGGGAAACTGAGATCAGATACAATTTTTAACTGAGTCGAATAATACTTTGATAAAGCTATCAGCATTAAATAGTGAAACGTCAGTAAAAACGATATCGTTTTGTTTTTCATTCATAGGGAAATACAAAAACCTTTATTTTAATGAGTCGAAAATTCTAATTGCATCAAATTATTTAGATATGATGGAGGAGATTTGTAGCATAATTGGATTATTTTGATGTGGTTGTGTTCACTGAGCTAGCTGGATAGTTAATTTGCGAAGCATGCACTGACCTACTAGGCAACATCTTCAACGAATACTTCAATTCCGTGAAGTAGGCTGATAGATTTCTCCACGAGATTGTTAGTCATCTCTCCTGGTAGGTGCCCTTGGACGTGATCGGTTGTTTTGGTGTGTTTTCATACACTCTAGCCTATGTATTTTTGATGTGGCTTTGTTCTCTGAGCTTAAGTTGCGAAGCTTTCATCACCCTACTGGGTGACATCTTCAGCGAATACTTCAATTTGAAGTGAGCTTTTAGATTTCTCCACGAGCCTATGTATATTGGTATTGATGTTGATTGTTCCCTTGACCTAAACTTTGACCCTTTGTGTGTGAGATTTCCTTCTTATCGGTTGGTAGATTTTGTCTATATCGATGTGTCTATTGATTGGCGATTCACTGGAATACCAGACAGCCCTCTGAAAATTCTCTAGCATGCTTGGTGTTCCACGGACATCAATTCAACATTCAAATATGAAACAGAGGAAACACCAAGAATGCCAGAGAATGTTTAGAACTCTGGTATTCCAGGGAATCGTCAATCAATAGACACATCGATATAGACAAAATCTACCAACCGATAAGAAGGAAATCTCACACACAAAGGGTCAAAGTTCAGGTCAAGGAAACAATCAACATCAATACCAATACACGTAGGCTAGAGTGTATGAAAATACACTAAAACAACCGATCACTTTCCAAGTCACCCACCAGGAGAGATGACTAACAATCTCGTGGAGAATTCGAAAAGCCCATTCCACCGAAATGAAGTATTCGTTGAAGATGTTGCCTAGTAGGTCAGTGAATGCTTCGCAAATTAACACTATCCAGCTAGCTCAGTGAACACAACCACATCAAAATCAAATTTTTAACTCTGAATGATGCTTTCAAATGTTGGTTCGGAAGCTCTGAAATCTGCTGTGAGCTGTGTCATCTGGTCATAGATCGTTTGATTGGCACAGAATAGCTTGATGTGATGTGCAGTAGAATTCAGAAACCTAATTACCTGATTGAAATAAAAACCTATGAAATATTCATCAATTTGTCTTGACCTCATGTTATCTGTCGAGACATAAATGTGACTTGCTTTAAGGAAGGGTGTGGTTGAGTGACTTTTCTGACTTTTCACAACCCCTACACATATTTTCCAATGAGAATAAGTTAGAGCATTACTTCCAGGGCTTTGAGTTTTATTTATTTATAATTTCTTGAATCGTTCTGCTTAAGTTTTGCTGTGATCGGTGAACGTCTCATTATCAATCAACTGAAATATTGTGATTCTGTGATAATAACTGCACCTTAATTGCTTCGAGTATATTATAACAATTCCGTTGCATTGAAGATGCTTGTTTAAGGTAGTGTTATAACAGCAACACTGATGGTGGACAATATCGCATCTATCATCGATAGAATTCTTGGATTATGAAAGTGATGTGTGAAGAAGTTTAAGGGATTATTTTATTGAGATGGCTTTCAAGTTGCCCTTGAACACAAGTTCAATCACAGATGGATATCGGTTAGGGTAACATTGAAAACCGAGTGATACTGAGCAACTGTTTTGTCCTATTCTTATAATCTTCTGAAGTACTCGCCCATGATCTAACATCTGTAGGTTACGAGGGTACCTCGTTTACCATTCAACCAGTGACAGACAGAATTCAGTGGATTGTGCATTCTAGCATTTTTAAAAGGGGAATTTTTAATACCACCTCTGGCTGATGTCGTCAGTGAGTATTTGCCGACACACCCATCCTAATTAACCCAACTGCTCATAAATTCTCACTAGAATTCCCGGATACTTCATTCTATTGTTGGTCTCCAGTGAGCGTCAGAGTAATTTTGAAATGTCAGTCTGTTGATGGTGCATTCATTCTGCGGTAAGTTGACGGATTCGCACTGCTAAATTCCCGAACTAGGAAGAAAAAGATGTTCGTGCCATCTTGAATATTAGTGGTTCTAGTACTCTTATCGACCGTGATGTATCGTAAGACCAATCAAACCCCTACAAGCTACCACTTGAGGACTGTGCACAAATTTCGTAACCTGATGCATATATATATATATATATATATATATATATATATATATATATATTACTGATGTCCCCACCTGGTAAAATAAAACAAAACATCAGGGCTACTGAAAATACTAAGCTGAAGCATGAAAGCCTATTTCCTACATGGAACACGGAAGAGTCAAAACTATCCGGCATATCCGCTTATCAATCAACCATGTTATACTTAGTTGGTGAGTGTCCTACTGTAAAAATATCTACCCAAATACTTTGGCTTAACGTATTTACTGATGATAACAGTAATATTAACACGAGACTGAAACACTAGTCGGTAACTCTAAACTATAGCAGCCCGAATCGAAAACACCTAGCTCACGGGTAAATGACCTTGAGCAACCAATCAGGTAAATCCGTATTACACAGGCGTACTTATAAATGCTGTACACCTATTGTGTAGCAATTTCGGTCCAGATCCTGCTTTTGATTACTGTTTGGAGAACTAACTCATAGGAAGGTCGAAAAAGTGTGAATGTGGAGGTTTCATGTATTTACAAAAATATACTAGGTGGATTGGTGGATTTGTTCACAGGTTCGAAGAGTGCTGAACCAAAAATCTAGTTCGATTGTAGTTTACAGATTCCGTAGGTACTTTTTTCGCCAAGTTTAAGTTACCTTTAACGAAAATTGTAGTGATGTGTCTTAACTTGGTGCTTAAAAGACCAGTAACAGCAACAGCGTATGAAACAGAAAATTCAGAATTGTCTCCAGTGAAGTAGTACCAGTACTTCAGAAACATAACCTCATGAACCATGAACAGATTGACTCAAGTACTCGGCGGCGTTGACGTCATTGTACATGTGGATGAGATATGTGGACGATAAAAAGAAAATATAATCGAGGTAGATTGAGTAGAAATCGTCAGTGGATGTTAGAGATATGTGACATTACTCTCTCCGCAAAGGATACGTTAGCGCGATCCCTAAATGCAGTGCTAATGTCTTATTGCCTATAATCTAACGCTTAGTGATGCCTGGAACAACTATTCATACAGATGAATGGAGCAGTTATAGCCAGCTACCAACCCGGGGCTATATTCATCACATCATCAACCATACAAATGACTTCATCAATCCTTTCGATGAAACTCACACTAATTCCATTGAAACATTTTGGAGTCACCTCAAAAAAGGATCAGATCTGTCAATGGATCAAGAAACACAATGATATAAAGTTATCTCGATGAGTTTGTGTACATGGCTTGATTTAACATAACTATGAAGACTCCATTGAAAAATTGGGAGGTTTTTTTGGAACATACACGAAAACGTTATCCTTTGTAACTATTTTTTTAATATTGTATTACTTTTATTTGAAAGTTTTATTCAAATTATGCGCTCTTAACATAGACGCATCTGATCGGTCAACGTTGTCGTTGTCAAGGTAATTTCGGTTTGGGCTGCTATAGTTTAGAGTCAACCACTAGTCTGTCAGTCAACCAGCTGACCATAAAACAATCTCAGAAGACAAATTTGTCTGAAGAATCCCCATTTTGGGTTTTTCTTTTTAGTGTTCCTTCATCTGTTTTCTTAATAAATAATTCATTACCAAAGTTGGTATATTCCTTGTAATGAAAATCATCACTAATTTTATTATTAATGTGTCATTTCTATTTAGATTTTTGGTATGCAAAAGTCTACGAACGGAACTGACTTCGATGGCTGGCTGCAAGCCAGCTTCACCACCACCACCTCGAGTGAACTATGATCGTGAATGTGTGAGCAAGCATCAGAAGACAGTTGCTGGTGGTTCACAGAAGTCACACGAATTTGAAGTCTGTGAAAATGAAGCCATAACAAAGCGAATAATGATGAAGACTACAACAGGGACACATCGAAATGACAATGGAGCTAATGATCACTACGACGAGAAAAAATCACATTTGAATTATGATAAATCAAATAACACAAATAAGTCAACTCCACTTTCACTTGTCATCAAGTATCTGAAACAAGTCAATGAAAAATTCAAATATATAATGACATCAAGGGATTGTAAGATTGATATATTAAGAATGTGTCGGAGTGAAATTATGGAAAGTGATGACAAGTTCATGCGTTTCATGCGAAATATGAATGAAGAGTACGTTCATGCATGTTTGCGCTTGCGTGTGTGCGCGTTTACTTTGACATATTATTAGTAGAGTTCTGAATATTGACGTCTGTTTCTGGTGATTGATAGGACAAACTGTTGTACTTGTTGATGTTAGTAAATAGTTTTTAAGGTTATACGAAGTGTGATCATGATTTAACCGAATATTTCCACAAATAATTGTGCTCCAAGTTACCCGTAGGAAATAAAATCTGGTAATTGTGATACTGTGTATGGAGGAGAAGCTTCCAAACAGGTAAGAACAGGACATGAACAATTCCTAGAGATGATTCGATATACTTTAGTAGATTTGAAGAGACTAGATAGAATTGGGACACAAGATCGACTTCGATAGGATCAAGGTTGTACAGAAAGATTTCCGTTGACATAAAGAAAGATTGACTGCAGGCGGTTTATATATATATATATATATATATATATATATATATATATATATATATATATATATATGTATAAACAAATATAATAATAATAATATAATAAACAAATAGATATATTTATGACTAGTCTTCATGTCTCATTTATTGTCCTGTTTATCTGTTTTGTCTAAAACAGCAACTGCGTCGATGGCTCAGCGGTAGGATGCTCGTCAACCATGCCCAGGTGGTCCGGAGTTCGATTCCCGGCCACGGACGCACTCCTTTACATCACCAAGCCGATAATAAGGCTGGTAAAGAGGAAAGGTTGAGCGTGAGACTAGCTACCCTATCGCATAAAAATAAACACCACTGCTACAGAAACTTCAAGTCTCTAGCTTGAAGGTGCCCTATGCTCCACTGGGAACGTAAAGGAATGAAAAAAGAGTTCTGTCGAAGTTACCAATATTTTCATTATGGATTTGTGTAATTTATTACCCTAAAGTGATACACTGATCACTCTCTGTGGATTCTGTAAATTACTTTGAAAGAATCAGTTGAGATGTTGTGGAATTTGTTGATCAGATGTTCAATAGTGGCACTTCTGACTGAACTTGTGCCTCCTTTTGGCAACCATGCTGGGTAATGTTCTTTATCATCAATTGTCTCTAGCTATTGGTATTTGCCATCGTGAGGACCTCAACTAGTCAGGAAGTCTACACCTCCTTACTTGGTTGGCTGAAACTAATTATTGTGGATTTCATTGACTGATGAAGCCTTGATTTAGTTTGACTACCGCTGCCTGTATCTTTTCCAACCTGATTCATACTATATCAGCCAACATTGCCCGTTGTCGAGGAAGGCGATGGCTAGGCAGGCATATGTAACACATGTCCTAACCATCTCAGTCGATGTGGCTTCACAGCCTCGTCGATTGATTTCACCTCCCGCCTAAATAGCACTGGACGCCAAACCTCACTATTGCTTACCCTACTATACCACTTCACACGGGAGATAGAACGCAGGCACCTATGATCCAAGACAGCTGGCTCGCCTTTTCATGTCTTCCACTCCCAATGGCCATGTCCCACTGACAGCCATAAAGGAGGACGGAATGGACTGCTGCGCAGCAAACACATCCTTTGGTTGACGGCTAGCCAGCTATCACATCAGAGACGGCATAAACTGACATATGTGAAACAAGCCTTCTGTATCTGTGCTGAGATTTCTTCAGCGATCAACCCGTTGGCGTTGGCTGATGCAACTTTCCAAATAAGTGAATTCGTAAGTATGCTGTACCACTTCACTCCCTATTTCTAAGCTAAGAGTCAGTGTAGTACAGTCCTATAACGTGATGTTATATTTGGCGGGATCGAATCGCATGCCAAACATTCGCAGATTGCAACTCGAGGTATTCATCAGACTGCAATTTGTCAGCGTCTTCACCTAGGAGGAAGGACTATATCATCTGCATATTCTAAGTCAACGAGATTGTTCTCTGGTATAACCAATTGATTAATAAGTTTATGGAAACTTCTGGCCATATCTGTAATATAACACTCAATTTAATCTGGTAGTTTACATGTCTCTTGAGCTAACACACTTCCTCACCTAGTAGGTTCGTGAGCCTAGTGTTCCAATCATTATTCTCAATGATAACCACCACGACACGATATCATGGACTTGTGAAGTACGCAAGTAAGCAGGCAAGAAAGAAGACAGATAGCTGAAATGAGAGATTCTACCGTCCCGATTTAACTGTGAGAATATTCAACAGTGATTCCGAATGTATAAGGTTTTAAATAACCTTGAGAGGTACTTATTTTATTGATAAGTACGAACAGTTAACAATCGATAGGGTTCAGCCTTCACAAGTTGAGCGTGTTTCGGGGAAATACAAACACCGTGGGACTGTGAATGAAGATAGTGTTTTAAAGCTTTGAGAAGACGTGGTGTATACAACAATCCTGATCACAGTTTGTGTAATTTTAGGGGGGCGGGGGGTTAAGCTTTACGCACCACTAACTACTAATCACCAAATGACCTGAAAGTACCAATCACATGAAGGAGGCATTTTGGTTATGGAATACATATATTTATGAAACCAATTCATAAAATCTGCATAAAAGTGTTACAGAGGATATCTTTCCTTCACATGAGATAAAAGCATTCCCCATGTTTAGTACAGAAGTAACAATAGAAAGTTACACCACATCGTATGTCTATGTTCATCTAAATGACTATAAATAATATCACTCTGTGATCCATTAATAGCTCTAATCCGGTTTTCCTAGCTTCCGCAAAAGCATTCGGCAGAAGCGGTATGGGTCCTCCACAAAATAACTAGAATGGTTGACTCTATGGTGAATATATATCCAAAGGATGACAAAGAGTTATAACGTTTCCATTCATCTGTGTGCATTCTAGATCTTTGTTTCACCAGCTGAGTAATAACAGGTATTAAAGTACTTAACTGTCTATCTGCTATTCTCTCGACAAATCCTTTCTGTAGAGAAGTATCATGTAAATCAATCACCCGAACATTATCCGCTCGTTTTCGATCAGGGTTGTATTTTCGCTTTAATAAGACAGTTTCATCTACATTTACAATGACATCTGCTTCTCTGAATAAGCAAGTAAGCTTCTACGTTTTCCAGGATACGATATCTCTGCAATGTTGGTACCGCTGAACTATTGAAACAATGCTGTTTTATGTTTCAGCAGCTGTAACTCTCACAGGCTGTTTTAAAACCCAGTAATTGCAAACATAATAAATTTGGGTTAATGATAGACGGGACCTAGCAGAAAATGTCTAAAATAAATTATACAACGATCTTCGAGTCCATCAACTGATCTGCTGAAGCTTTGTGCACTCATCACACCTCCACATGAATAAATCCTTTCTTTCCTAATCAAGCCTGCATCTAAACAATACTGGGAGACTCGATTCTCATCAAATTGCGTTAGAGCAGGTATTTAACTCGAAACAGGCAAAATAATAGTTTCAACTCACGCGAATAAAACTCGTTGGGCCATTCAAGTTCAGTGGTGCAGAGATAGTCCACTAGTAGTTAGTGGTGCTTAAAGTTTAACATGGCCTGATTTTACTTATTTTGTGTTTGATCACTATTCACGACTAAGATATGACTACTGGACAAGAATGTTAAATACAGGATATGCCATGACCTAAGCATACCTTTGATATTTTAATTCTGACTGTTTCTCTGAAGAAGTTCCGACCAGTGTTGCCGAACAACCAAATGTTAAAATTACTTACTTCAATTTTATTAAGATTTATACAAATATAATGTTTATATGGGTAAACCGCTATGTTGCTATGTACTGCTGTTGAGTGAGTTATTAAAGTTTTCCCCGTCGCCAATTATGTTATGTACTCGTCGAGTAGTTAGTAGTCCTGACGCGGAAAGAGGGAAATTAGAAGATCACCAGGTTTACGATGATACTTGTATTTTTCCAGACAAGGAAAATAAATGTCACACAAGAGTGTGAGTGAAATGGTACGAAATGTACGAACAAGTATGAACAAGTATCCAGTACAAAAGTATGTATGAAAATGACTAATACACATGAACAATAATTAGCCAGTCTTAATATCATCGGTTGTAATGTCATGTGACAACAAGGTCATACATGTTTATTTAGTTAGTGGATAGACAAAAGCATATTGTCAGTTATAATGGAATATCGATCCGTATACATATAGCAAAATATAACAGACTGTCAAAACAAAACACATATCATATGGATACATATCATATGTAACGACGAAAACCTAAGTGTTCTGATCTGAGGGCAGAGTGAGATCCAATCGATGTTTATTAAGGAAATCAAGAAATATTTATAGACTTTTATGTACATTATTGTCAGTGAAGAAACAATGTCTCCTGATAGATTGTTTTCTTGCAAAAGGTTGTTCTGCACTGCTTATGGCCATTTCTCAAGAGTCAGGCCATATATCTGCGAATTGTATTTGCACACGTTAATTCTGCTGTGGTTGGTTAGTGAATTCCCAAGGTTAAGCTTTGTTACTGTTTTTCTCATGACTCCGATTCAGGACATAACACTGACGTGAACTGTTGTTTACAATTTTGGCCTGTTTGCAGCCAGCTGTCACCACAGCATTAATAAACAATCATAAGAGACATAGAAAACTCAAAATTACCTCAACCATGCTGTCGGAAGTTATACAGTCAAAGGATTTCTCAAGTACAAAATGATTACTTTCCAACAACATTTTTGTTCTTTTTTATTCTTCACGTTCCCAGTGGAACATAGGGCGCCAAGCTGGACGCTTGAAGTTTCTGTAGCAATGTTTGTTTTTACAGGATGGGGTTGCTAGCCTCATGTCAAACTTTCCTCTTTACCACTTTATTTCTGGCTTAGCGGCGGCACAGCGGTTAGAACGCTCGCCGGCCATGCACATGGTCTGGGGCTCGATTCCCGGCCGACGCACTCCTTTGCCTTTACAACAACATTAATTAGTTGGCGAGAAAAACAACCTTGCGAAATACCTGGAAACCAAATGGAATATTTCCATCATGAAAAGATCAAAATTCTGTCACCAAATGGCAGACATACTAAGCACTTCCCAATGACAGACAATGGTCGAATTCCCACAGCAGAAACTTGACTTCACTGAAATCAAACTGCATTCGTTTAAACAATCCTGTATCGACAACATCACACAACTGCAAAGACAATCATTTAATGTACAGATAAAACAAGAACATGGACATATCAGATGATTTACGTCAATAGGTGACAAAGACGCGTTAGGAAAATAATGTACAGCCTAGATGGAAGAAATAATAATAGTGGTTGAAAAGTTATCTGAAATAACCAATTAAGTATCAGTATTGTGAATAGAGATCGTTAAGGAGCGATTTTCCAGTTGATTATTCCTCTACAATGTAATATTGCTGTTTTGAATTACGAGTAGAACACAAGGCTGGCTTCAACACCACATCTTTACTGTCTTCTATTCTCTGCTGTCCCTTTAGCTGCTTCCACTATTGTCCATAATCTCTTATCTCCACTAAATCACACTATCTCTTCTATATCACTCTCACATTGATGACCCACTCGGCATTTCCCATTTGGATTCCACTCGAGTGATGGCCTGCATTGTGTTCAATGCAGGCGTTCGATAGCCTCCTCCAGGTGTGCCCAGTATACCTGTATTTTTATTGTACATATTAGTTGATCACTCGACTCTTGGGTGGATTTGTTGCCGACGCATATTACATCGTTGAAATAGTGTTAGACAAGGTAGATTTTAACTATTGCTTTGTCTTCTCACAAGAAGTGCTCGTATCTGTAATTAAATATTCCTGTTGATATTGACTCATTGAAAATTGATGTAAATATTTTCTTTAACTGTTTACAGAATTATAATTCGTCAGTGTATCACGATGTCTAAAGTGATCGCATATGCACAAGATCCACCTCCTCGATACGCTAGGCAAAATATTTCTGCAGCTTTATGGATACTCATATGGAATGTGAGCTGTGATTTTTTTTTTTGATTGATGATGAATTATATTATTGCCTTTAATAACTATGAATGGCATTCATATGTGATATAATTCCTTTGCAACCATAATTTGTAGGTGTGCGTGCGTGTGTATGTGTGTGTGTATACAATATGCTTCTCATATTTGATGGTAATTTATGCAACTCGACTTGAAGTGCTGGTTTTTTAGGAATTTAGTTTGATTGGATGGAGGAATTGATCATGAGCTGACATAAGTTAGAGGACCATTGAAAAACATGCAGGGAGTACTGGACAGCTGTTTCGTCAGCTTAGTTTAGACTCTTCATCAGTAGTCTTTTTTAGTTCCAAGTGAATTGTGAGATAAGCCTAGAAAGTATCCCAGTGATTCAGTTACATAAATAATAATTTCCAGTGTCTCACATCGAGTGAGTGTTCTGTCTGTCGTTTCGGAAGTGAATTTCATATGACTGTCAGTCAGCTTCAAAATGTGTATCTACTCTAATTCAACTGCTGATCGAAAGCAGGCTTGATAATGTTGTCGGATACTTTTCATCTACTTTTTGTACACAAATAATGAAGATAAAGGAGAGTAAGACAAAAGGCTAATCATTGATTGAGATGAGTAATTGTATGCCACTCTGAAAGATCTGGATTTCGCATGTGGATGATTTATGTTTATTTTCAGGCAAACGCCAAAAATACTTACTGGAGAAAACTAACAGACTGGTTGAAGAAGCTGGCAGCAAAGACAAGACAGATTTCAGGTAAACATAGAGAAGACGGAGATGATGAAGATAACCAACAATCACCAACAACAACAAACAGCATCAGTCACCATCAACTGGGGAGAATTGGCAAAGACTACCTACTTGACTTATCTAGGAAGCACCGTTTCAACCAAAGGCCAGCGGGACGGATGGAGATATCAAAGCCAGCCAGCCAGCCAGCCAGCGCAATCGGAAAGTCAAGATACGCCTTCATAAACCTGAGACCAGTTTGGAAGTCTTCTGGACTCCACTGCATCAAGAACAAGATTTGGATTTTCAATACAAATATGAAGTCATCAGTTGGTGCTTCTATACGTGTCAGAAACTTGCAATGCGTGTGTGTGTGTGTGTCACGAAAAGCATTTTGAACAAGTTAGAGAACTTTATCAACAGCTGTCACCTTCGCTGGATCCATACTGGTGATCGAATGGCCAACCAGAAAGAATTAGCAATTTTGCGATCACAAAAATTGTACAATCTTGCTTTGTAACCAGAAGGTCCTGGGTTCGAGCGTTGGTGAGTACGTACTGATGAAAAGTCCCAAACTAGGCTGACGAAACAGCTGTCCAGTACTCCCAGTTGGTCTCCCAATGGTTTTCTAACCAATGTCAGCTCATTATAACATCCTGTAACCAATCAACGAAATCCTATAAACCAAATACTTGAATATTGTGTTTGTCCTGCAATTTACCAATTCACAGTCTGATATCATATCACTTCGATCTAGCTCGCAAACACTGCAGGTTGACGTGAATGGTATACAATTATCCTTCTCAATCAATCCGTATCATACATAGTTCTATGCGAATATACTTGCTTTGCCGATTACCATCTATGGCATCAAACAGATCACAGTGACATATGAAATTCGCGATATTTTGAAGATGTTTTCAATATTTTGTGTCAATACTGTCTCGTTTGACCGTATTCATTCTCATGTCTCTCTCTCTATCCCTCTTTCTTTTGTCTTTTTTCTCTTCAAAATGCTCACTTTAGATTCCTCGGATGAATTATTCTTGCTGACTCAAATCGGTCCAGTGGAAATTTTATATCGACATTTGAAAATGATTTATGAGTTTTTCACGTGTTCTGTGAGCTAATATTTTCTTTACTGTTTCTTCCATGTCAATCAGTTTTCATGCTAACAGTAACTGTACGATGAAATGACTAACCATCCGTGGGAAGTATCATTTCATGAATAATCCCCATCTAGGCATTAATGGAAACAAAACACGTAGTTCAGCGAAGAGTTTCTTTTCGTCGGTGAATTCATTTTCTTAACTGTACAATCGCATATATATATATATATATATATATATATATATATATATGAGTTATTTTGCATGCATGTGGTTATGGCTATTTTAACTAAACATCTCAACAGACGCCTACTGCGTCAAAGTAATCTACAGAGTAAAGAATAACCTACCGAAATTAATACGGTGTCATTTTCTTTGCGATAGTACAGCTAAGGAATTATTATTGTCTATGATGTAAGTATGCGAGTAAGTGGCAACATATCATTATTCTAAAAAGACGAATTTGAGACTTCTCAACCAGAATTTTCTGATTGCAATTGTCTCCTAGACTTGATCGTTGGCAGAGTAATATCTACTCACTGCTAAGGCATCTCATGACCAGTAGCAAAGTTCCTGTCAACGGCTGCCTGATTTCCGCTTGTTTTCTAACTGATGTCAATTTGAGATGAAATCAGTGGGCAATGTGGTTCGATTTTGATTTTTATGAGGTTATTTGACACGATGAAGATTTTCTCCACTGGGGTGTACCTTTTCAATAGAAAGTAGCTTAGTCTGACGTCAATGAGTAATTTCAGTCTTATTCTTATGTCTGTGTGTTTGCATTTACATATGATGAATATTGAAATACATGCCCGTATGAAAGGATAGTAGTCGTAGCTTACTTAGCAAACGCACACTTGTGATGAGAGCTGTCTGCTGGCCGAAATTGTAGAAAAAAATTTACGTCAATGTTGACGTCCCAAATCAGGGTCATGAGAAAGAACAATAACCAAGTTAACCTTCAGGATCTCAACAACCAATCACAGCAGACTTAACGTGTGCAAATACGATTCGCAGATATATAGCCTAACTTCACAGAAACGGTTACAAGGAGTACAGAACAACCATCAGCAAGAAAATAACCAATCAGAAGACGTTGCTTGTCTGCTAACAATAACGCTAATAATAAAGTACATAAAATGTATAAACATCCGTTTATTTTCTCGATGAACTATCTGTTGCCTGGCCCTTGTCTTTTGTTGTTACACGCTAGTAGCAGAATCAAAAGTGTCAGTATTATCTAGCAACGCAGACGGAACAGACTTCACATCTTAATCTAAACTGGAGACAATATTATAATGCAGAACTTTGTAACTGTCTAAAGTACTTCTACTGCCTTTTTAATCAAATCGCTTATGGTCACTGAAGGATTGTATTGAGAGTTTGCGAACAATCAAGAGAGGCGTTTTCCGTACTTTCAGAAACGCAGACGTTATGGTGGGTGGTCTGAACTCTTAAACTGATACTATTTCTTGAGACAATAGAACTATCAGACAGGTGTGAATGAATTGGGAAACTTTAAAGGTTTAATGTCTTGTTTTTTCTGTTCATTCCATGTACACATCGTTCAGGAATCATTAAAACCACTACCTGCTGAATATCATCCATCTATGCGACTGACTTCACTGAGGAAAACGGATGATATAATGAATAAGTTGATGAGCTTTACTGGGCGTCGAATTGGATTGGTTTGCGGCAGCCCATCATTGACTTCAACAGGTGCACCTGCTCAACCAATGTTGATTTTCTCACGCGGAAGGAAGAATTACGTGAGTATTTATTTGAAGTGAATTGTCATGAAGCATCATAATTATGGATATGAATTATGTAACTTGATTCTTTCTTATTCATCCAACTTTATGTCGATTCTAATTGGATGATGGTGACTAGCAGTGTAATCCAGAACACTGAGCATTTCAGCCTATTTGGGTTTAGTCCACTGGTTATACTTGCATTCCCCAGTGAGTGATGGTGTTCCTACCGAGGCTCGAACCCAGTGCCCATAGTCTCAAACGCCAAAGCGTTATCCACTAGACCACTTGAGCCACCTCTTGTGCAACGGATCATATTAATTATTTAATTGAATTTTAAACTTTCTCGTCGATTGGCACAAGTGGCCTAGCGGAGAACGTTTTGGCGTTTGAAACTATGGTCACTGGGTTCGAGCCTCGGGGGAACATCATCACTCACTGGGAAATGCAGGTGCATCCAGCTGACTCCTAGTCCCAAATAGGGCCAAATGTACATTGTCCTAGATTCCACTGCTAGTCACCATTCACCAATTATAAAATCTAATTACATGTTCAGACATCGTTGAAGCAGCTGCACAAGAAGCCGAAATGTCAATCTGAAAGTGAGCACTTCGGTTCAATTAATCGACAGGAAAATCTAAAATTCAATTAAATAACTGATATCAAAAATAAACTGATCGCCTTTTTAATGCGTTTATTTATAGCCAATAATGAGAATATCCGTACTAAGGATTGTTTTGAGAAACAACATGAAGTAATCATGCATACATAGTGACAGCTGTCTACTGCTGATCGTGTTCATCTTCCCCTGAAACAGGTTAGTGTTGACTAAAGCTCACTTGTTTCGGTTTGAACACAGGAAGCCAATGAATGCCTTCTTCTGGCATAGCTTGCCAAACTTCCGCCAGTCCATCACAGTGAGAACACGTGTTCTAACGATTTCAAAAGAAAACACTATCTAGTCTGATAGAGTCTTTGATGACACTGAACAAAAGCAACCTTTATCAAGAATACAGAACTGCCACTGGAACGTGCGTGCGTCAGGGGTTCAGTGGTAATATGCCCGCCAAGTATATACATGGTTCAGATTCGATTACCCACCAATGCACTCCCACACCTTAACAAAAACACACAGACACTACGGAGAACTTCAAATCTCCAGCTTGATGCCTTATATTCCATTCGGAACTCAAACGAATGAAACAAACCTCAACAATGCCAACCGACAATCTGTACATTTCAAAGTTTCGCAGGTGAAACATACGTATCATTAGATAAAATTAACTGACCGAACATAAGCTTAAAATACCTGAGAATCAAAACAGTATCCACTAACACTGGCTCTCCAAAACTCTGTCTGCTAGAAGCACAGAGAAGAGAACATGTCTCTCACTTGAACAGTCTGAGAGACGTCAAACAGTCATTTCATCGTGTGATGCCGAATTCATTCAGATAAGATTGCAATAGTGAGACAAAACACTATTATCAGCATTAGGGATAGAAATCAACTCATAAATAGTAAGGACTAGGTCGAAAGAAAATAAGCAAATATTAGAAGAAGAATAATATACAGGTCAGTGGTTTGTAAGGGTATACATTTCAAAATTATTTGAAATATTCAAATAAGTATCCATATTTTGATTGGGCGCTAGTAACTAACTTGTGTTATGTGTCTAGTCTATACTCTGGTGCAGACTGAATTCTGTCAGTCAGGTTTGCAATGTGATCGTCACCAAGCCACTAGGTAGTTTGCTAACACTGTGCACATTGATTTGATGATATTAGATGGTTGAAGGTAATCAGCGAGCCCGAATAGCGCTCAGTGTTAACATCTCTAACTGCATCATTGGGTGACACGGGTTCAAATTTCAGAAATGACATGAGTTCCTCCGAGGTTTCAGATACTCTTTGCTGACCGGTGAGTGACAACTAGCAGCACCAAACCTAGGTCCAAGGCTTCTTGCAGATTGCCTCCAATCATCTATTATTATCAAGTATCCATATTGTAAACAGACTGTTCACAATGGGATTTTCGGATCAGTAGTACAATGTTTGATAGTATAACTGAGTATTATGATGCAAAGGATGAGACGAAAGGAAGCACCTAGATTTTTCTTACTGGTGAATCAATATTCCGGTTTAAAGCTCCCTTAAACTGATAGTAAACGTTGATATGGTTGGGTAAAATGATAACTTAAGGTTGTCCTTCCTGCCTCATTCTGTATTGTCAAATAGTCAAATATCGAATAACAAATACTTTTTCTATTTTGATTGGGGCTTGGTTCTACACCGTATTATTTGGTACATGTATGGATTTTTCAACATGTGATATCGGTGGCCCAAATTTCTCAGGCCGACCGTTGGATATAAGGTGCGTGTCGGATTGAATCGGGATCGAATTCCAGACCATGTGCACAGTCGGTGAGAGTCCTAACCACTGTGCCACTGATGCACATAGAGTACATAAGATGAATTTCAGCAGTGAATATATAAGCTATGCATAGCCAGTTATCTTGCAAATGATTGAGAGTATGTTTGAGTAGTGCTGGCAGAATAATTAAGTGGATTTTAAACTGGAGGCGCATCACGTCATAGATGCCTGACGCGCTGTATGTTACTGACTGATTGATATGAATAGTTGAACACCGTTAACATCAATGAACAGTGCATGCTAGCCATGTCAAAGTGATCTAAACCCCGGAGTGTCGTGTCGCTTTTTTTAGGACAACCTCATCTTTGGTGTGTCTGATTTGAATCAGCTGAGAAAGGTAAATCACTTCAAGCCACCGGAATATTTTCGATTCACATAGGACACTGTGGTGGTGGTGAAATTTCGCCTCAGCATACTCTGTAAAGTAGAAACTGCGAATTACATTTAAGCATGCATCCCGTTGATACGAGACGCGAAGTGGAAATTGCAAATTCCTTCAAAATTATTAATAGACAAAATAGCTCAATTCTTCTCACGTTTGCTGAAGCAATCTCTATCAGATGCTTGGAACTAAGTTTATGTGTTCAGAAAGAAGCAGTTATCAGTCAGTCTTTCCTTGCCTTGGGAACTGGATGTCTTTATACTCTCTTTCATTTGACTACGTAATCTTTCACTTTGACCTCAGTATATCAAAGGAGGGACGCCCTTTGATATAGTGTAATTTCACTTGTTTCTTGTTTCTGTGATTTAAGTTGAACTCAGTACATTGTTACCCAATTAATTAGTTACTCAACATCTTACGCACCTCTCGTCTGCATTACGTAACGCCTTTACCATTGTATGCATATAATTAATTTGTTTCAACCTGAACTGCCTGTATAAAAACTATATAAGCGTAATTTTCTGAGCACCGTCCACTAAGTTTGGAATCTCCTGTCAACTGATATCAACTAAAATTTGCAAGTATGCTAAAACTTTTCTGTACATGAACTTAATAATAATAATTTGTTTAGGCCGTGAACAGCTGATGAGGAGCCAACGAAATAAATGGAGGTACTATATTATTCCCCACAAGCAACTGTTCTTCTTGCTTTATTCAAACTCGCAAAGGGGAATAAATATATGACATATTCGTATAACATTATTTAGATGTGGCGTGAGCAGCACAGAGGTAGAATGCTGGCCGACCATGCCTTGTGTGGTCCGAGGTTCGATCGCAGACCACTTACACTGTTCTTTACCTCATTAAACCAGTAATTATACTGGTAAAGAATAAAGGTTTGATGTGAGACTAGCTACCCTATTGCTTAAAAAATTAAAAACACCAATGCTACCGAAGCTTCTAACTTCTAGTTTAAAACCCCATGTTTCACTGGGAACGTAAAGGAATAAAAAATAATTGATCCACTTTGTACGAATCGTTTTGAAGTACGATGCATGTGCATTAAAGTAGATCACAGTTGCTGAAAATGCCTTTACACGCACACACACACACACACATACACACAGGATTTATTCGTTGTCGGCAACGCGCGGTGCCACTGCGAAATGGTCACTTTTTTCGCACTTCTCTAATTCTAACAATAACTCTCTTTTCTTTCACTTAAGTTTTTCTCTCTACTTAGCCTAAGGTTGAGATATGTACTGTGGATGGGCATGAATGCGCGAATTTACGTGAACTGATACCAGGATTACAACCTCGACTCCCAAATGCGACGTTGGTCTGGGGACAAGCAATTAATGAGATTTCTTTGAAGGTGAGTTTGGTTTCGTGAATTACTGTTTAGATGACAGGTGAAGGTTTTAGTGTCAGTGAGATTCTATTGATTAGCCCATCAGAAAAAGCATAAATGTGGGATAGACTGTAGCATTTACAGTTGTACTGCTACTATTAGTATTATTATTCCTGTAGATTAGCAGTGGGATATGGGACCACAGCATCACATCTGCTGTGTATTCTGTTTTTTACCGTCTCTCTAGGCTGTTTCCACGATCACCTAACACTATCTCCTCAAATTTACCCACCTACCTACTCCTTACTCTGTGTCCCCAGTTCGGTTCCCACTGTATAGCTTGACAGGGGATGTCATTCAATGGTCCACTTAGCGTGTCTTCAATCCACCCTCAGTAGTATCCAGATGGCAACTGACTGAGTTATGTACATCGGTGGTACAGCGGTAGAATGCTCCCTAACCAACCACGCATGTGGTCTGATAACTGGCACTCACAAACCTCGCTAAGCCAGTAACAGGACTGGTGAAGAGGGAAGGTTGGGCATGAGGCTAGTAACCTCATCCCCTAAAAATAAACACCACTGCTACAGAAACTACAAGCCTCTAGCTTGAAGCCCGCTGTGTTCCACTGAGAACGTGAAGGAATGAAAAAATGAATGTAACACTCACAAGTTTGTTAGTTTATTCATGGCCATCTAGCAAAGACTCTTAATGTTTCTACAGACGAATGACTGCTGACAAGGGTCACCAGACATGAACACTTGGACCAGGTTTTCTTGATGTAGGCACATTTATCATTTAGTCTGTTCGTCATAAATATCATTTCCATGGAATAAATGGATATATTTCTCAATTGATTTCACTCATTTGTTTTATCGTTTACTTCATTTACTTCAGACTGGATCAGAAAAACCCGCACTATTTGTTTACGATGTCCTTTGGATATGTGGTCGTGATTGTCGTCAAATGGGTTATCGAAATCGGTGAGTAAATGAGTTGACTAGCATCCTTCTGTCGTCCATTTATTGCTCTCTGACTATGATCCTCTGTTTGATTGTGTAAAATGAAATCAAGCGGTAGAATATGAAATGTGAATGTAAGTCAATACGTGTCATGTGAAATTTCATAAGGTGTCAAGTGTTTAGCAGACTGATGATAATGTCGCGGTCTGATATTGGACGTGTAAGCAATGGCACTAGATTCCAACGGACTTTCACCATCTCTTTTTCTTAGTGATGAGGACCTCAAAGTTGATATATTTATGGCATCGATTGAGTCTTAGAGAGTCGGAATCTCATTGATCTCAGAAACTATTGACTATCAGAATCTATTTTCCATCGAACATCATCGAAAAGTGGGTGGATCTGAGAGTGGGCTGTTTTGTGAATACGTTTTATTTGTTTCATTGTCAAACCGATGATCTAGTTTACTTTGATATTCTGATTATTGCATAGGATGAAACTTGCAGAGCGGATGGTGAATGTAGTCAATTTTCCTGATATGAAAGCATCGAATATTCGTGTTCCACCGTTGATGAATTTATCACGACTCGAAGATTACATGAATAGGTGAGTTAGTTTATTCCACGTTGAAAAGATTAACAGTTTAATTAACCCGAATAGCTCAATGATAACATCCTTGACTGCAGCACTGTGTGACAGAGTTTGCGTCTCAGAGGGGACATGAGTTCCTTCAAGGTTGCAGATATGCCTATCTGACTGGTGAATGACAACTAGCCCGAAACCAAGGTCTAAGGCTTCCTGTCAAAACAAACTTGCCCAGTCTACTAACTTGCTAGTCTCCTGGCTCGTCCCAGACCCAAGGAAAGAGGGAGGTTTGGGCGTGGTGCAAGCTATCCTACACCACAAAGCCAATCAAACTGCTACAGAAACTTCAGCGTATTAAAGACATAAAAAATTTAGAAAACAAACCTATACTTCGCTGGAATCGAAGAGGCGAAATGACACAGTAGGCTGGTGAATGCCTTCGTGAAGCCAGTCAGCCAGCCGATGTATCTTCTTTCAACGAAAGCGAGTGTGAGGATCGGGACGTGGAATGTGCATACAATGTACGAAGCTGGAAGGCTGCCCAGAAGCCAAAAAGAGATGCAAAGATATGGCCTAGAATTTCTGGGCGGCTGCGAGAACAGATAGAATGGATGCGGAGTGTCAAAATTGTCAACTTGTGGTCAGTAATCTACTCCGGTCTGGTCACCCAGATGACAACCACAAGCACACTGAGACAGTGAGTAGCTATAATGATGTCACCAACATCAGCCAAACCTTGGATGCAGTGGGAACCAATCTCCTCCTGCAGGATTATGACAGACAGCAAGATTAAACTCAAAAGGAAGGAAGGAAGGTAACAATTATTCAATTCTACGCACAGTGCTACAAACAACGCGGAACAATAGAATATGGAAGATTTCTATAGACAACTGCGAACAGTAATGGGTAACATCCCAAATGGAGACATCAAATCATGATGGGCGATACCAATGCCATTCGGACTGCGAGAAGACGATACAGGAAGAGAACTCATCATGCGTCGAGAGGTTTTGGCTCAGCGAAATGAATGAGAACGCAGAACTCTTCACAACACCTGGAGACAGGCCGCAATTCAAGTTCAACACTCAGAAATTGGATTGAAGTACAAAACTACAAGAGAACCGTCACTATAGCTCAGATCAGAGCAAAGTTGGAGACGATACGTGGCATCACTGAGGAAAGTTGAGTAGAAGAACATTGGAAAGAACTCTCTGAATGTGATGTTCATGGAAACGTGTACCACAGTTCTAGGCACAAAAATAATAGTAACGATAACAGCTTTATTCCATACAGTATTTGTGGTACAGGTATGGAATTTTCAGCGTGCATTACAATATATTGCATCTAATTACCTCATAAATTTTATGAGAATTTAAAATCAAAAAGTAACGCCACAAAAAAGATAAATAAAAAAATAAAAACAACAGCGTTGCGTTTACATTTTAAACAATGCACCACAGGATAAGAAATATAAAATTGGTGTGTAATAGAAGATGAGAACAACAGTGTAATAGTAACGAGGAAAGGAAAACAAAAACTAATGGGACTATTTGTTAGAGTGCCGCAGTAAGTTTATCGTGTCATACCTAACGGATTTCTCATCACATAACAGCTGTGCCAGATATGGTATTGTGGAGTTTTTGTATTTGGTAGTCCTAGCATATAGCCTCCTATAGCTGCTTCTAGTTCTACCAGATGAAATGCAAGGAGACAGCTGCGTATAGAGAGGATGCTCGGGGTCTGACAATATTGTATTCGCTAGTTTCTTACATGACATTATATGTCTATCCACAATAGTGTTAACCAGTTGGTTTAACGATATCCCACTTGCCCTACTAACAGCTTTTAGTGCCCTTCTCAGCAAAGCAAAGTCTTTCTTAAGTAGTCCAGGAAAGATTAATGGGGAGCAGTAAAGGGGATGGGTAGAATACAAGAATTGACAAACTGAGAAAGCAAAGACTGCTTTATGCCAGACTGCCTAAATTTCCTAATGTAGAACGTTAAGCGAAACATCTTTCTAGTAACTAGCAAGATGTGGGAGGACCAGGAAAGATCGGTGGAAAAACTCAGCCCAAGGTACTTGACATTAGATGTATTTTCAACCTCTGTGCCGTCAATGATAGTGGGGCCATGTGAGCTAACTAGTTGTTGTAGGTCACATTTACGTCTGAAAGTGAAATTGACTACCTGACATTTAGACGGATTAAGCTTAAGTCCGTTTGAAGAGGACCACTGACTAATTTCCGACAGAAAGTTATTTAATTTGGAACAATCTGACTGAGAGTTGACAGGCATAGAAACAGAGAGGTCATCAGCATACTTAACAAAAGTGGCTACATCAGAATGAGGCAAGTCATGTAAGAAAAAAGAAAACAGAAAGGGAGAAAGAACAGCACCTTGAGGAACACCAGCTAAAGTAAGTGAGGTAGTGGAGGACTTTCCATTGTAGACGGTGTACTGCTTCCTATCAGAAAAATAGGAATGCAACCACTTATTTGTCCAGCTCTCAGCCTGTGTTGCAGCAAGCTTACTTAGCAAGAGAGACCTGGGAACAGAGTCAAATGCAGATGTGTAATCAAGGAAGGCACAGCGAACGTATTTAGCTCCTTTATCTAAACTAGAGACTATATTATGATATAGGACAACAGCGGCATCTAACGTACACCTACTATGTTTATAAGCAAACTGGTTGGGGTCGTTGAAAGGCTTTAAAGAGGGTTCAAGATTAAGTAAAATAAGTCTTTCCATAACTTTCAAAAAAGGTGAGGTAATAGCAATGGGTCTAAACTTAACATTAGGTCCACTTGTTGATTTAGGCACTGGAACGATCTTGATATTTTTCCATGATTCAGGTATAATACTTTTGGAAAACGATTCGTTGAAAATGTCAGTTAGTGGGGAACACAAGATGTCGGCACACTTCTTAAGGATAACAGCAGGAACACCATCAGGACCAAGGGACTGAGTAGGTTTGAGAGATTGAAGACACTTGAGGACATCATTCGTATTAAAGCATGAGAAGCAGTCATTATTTACACTATTTGAGTTAGGAATCATAACATCTGCTGGATACATATGAAGGATTCATTAAGCATGTTAACATCTACAGAAATATCATTCATCATTTGCTTACCACCTGTGATTTCCTTTAATAACTTCCACATATTTGATGGGGATTTACATGAAAGAAACTTCTGGTTATAGAGAGCATTCAATCTTTGTAATTCAAGCTTAATCAAAGTGTTCATTCTCTTAACACCAGATTTGTTTTTCATTTTGAACAACCTTTCTTTTTCACGGCGGAGCTTTTTGAGTTGAGAAGAGGAGAAGCGATCGAATTTTAAGAAGATTGTCTCTTTTGGACAACAAACATCAAGACAGAAATTAAGATAATGTGTTATGTTGGTAATTGTGTTATCAAGAGCTTGTTCAGTAAATAAGTCCCAGTTTGTGTCTTTTAACATGGACCTTAGATTCAGTATGTTGTCATGGGAATAACATCTGTGTTGTGTTTTCTTTCCAAGGTGTGAGAAGACCCTTTTGTGCTGCTTTCCATATACTTTGGGCAATATTCTTATGATACAGTGATCTGAATTGAGTAGTGGGGCTCTTTTTCGAGCTTCAAATATTCCTGTGTCATTTGTAAACACAAGATCAAGAGTGTTATCCATTCTAGTCGGGAAGTTGACAATGTTATCGTGTCCAAGTGAAATTAGGAAGCTGTGATCACTAGAATTAAAATCTCCAGTAACTATAGACAAGGAATTTCCGAAGGAGGTGGCAGCAAGGGAGTAAATTCATCCGCAAATAAAGACGAGTAATATAAATGTTCGAGATGTAAATGTAGTTGTATTTAGACAAATGTTTAGGTCGACACTTAACGGTGAGACAGTCAATATTGTCACTAGAGAATTTGAAACATACATTATTAGACGTACACCATTGTGAATTGATGAAGATGGCGACACCGCCACCGCGTTTCTTCCTGGAACTACACCGATCTTGTCTGAATAATTTGAAATCATTTAGATACACTAGATTGTCATCATATAGATCATGTAGCCATGTTTCTTGAAGTGATATGATCCCAGTATTACGATATATAATGGAAGACACAAGTGATTGAAGACAGTTAATTTTAGCTGGCAGGGAGCGACAATTTGTACTCATAATTGCGGGAACAGTCATGAATTGAATAGGGGTATTTTTTTAAGGCTCTGTGCCACCCGGCATTATGCTTTTTTGTCTTTTTTATTGAGTTGCAGATCGGTAGGTTTTAAGGATAATAAATAGTCGCGAGAATAAATAATCCGATTAGAGGTCATATTTAGTAATTTAGAATGAATTGGAAATGAGAAATTAGATGCAATATGATTTGTAAAGATAAGACACGATAAGGAATGGCTCTTAACGGACACCTCCCTGGAAGCCAATAGAAGAGAGGAGAGGAGGATGGTGAAAAAGAAGATAAGTCAATGCAAAGATGGGCAACAGAAGGAGAAGCTGAGTTCAATGTACACTGCATTGAATATAGAAAGACGTGAAGAAGAGTGCTAGGAAAGACAAAAGACAATTCTACGACACGTTGGCTTTCAAATGAAGCAGAACAGACAGTCCTGAGGTAAAAGAGACTTCAGGACATTATATCAGATAACCAGGATTCTGTCCGGGAAGAGATCAACCCAGATGATAAAACTAATAAAAGATGCTCAGGAGAACCAGATTACCAGGGAGAAGAAACAAGTAAAACAATGGGCTGACCACTTCAAAAACTCCAGAATCGACCATCCTCATCTGCGACTGGCTGAAAAATACCATCACCACTGACAACACTCACAAAACCACCTGTCAGTTGACACCAATCCTTCAACGAAGGCAGAAATCCTGGATGTGATCAAGCTTCCGAAGTCTGGAAAGGCAGCAGAATCAGACAGAATTCCCTTAATTCGAACCACTGAAAATGGACCCTGAGACTGCAGCAGATGTGCTGGCGCCATTATTGCAACAGGTTTGGAGTGGAGGAGGTGTAACTGCCGATTGGAAGAAAGGGTACCTTATCAAGCTGCCAGAGAAGGGAGATTTAGGTCTGTGCGAAACCTGGTGTAGAATAATACTCTCTTCAACGCCAAGTGAAATACTAAGTCTCATCATCCTGGGGAGAATAAAGGATGCACGGGATACAGAACTCCACCTGGAACAAGCTTGATTCAGGAAAGGCAAATCATGTGCTGATCAAACTGCAACTCTGCACATCATAGTCGAACTAAGTATGAAAGTCAAATCTCTATCCCAAATTCACCAATAGTGTTACCATGAAGTAACTTCAAAATACTTCGGCAATATGAAGTGCGGTGTCTGAAATTTTTATCCACCTCATTCAACAGCTATACGAGAATGCCGCATATCAGGCGATTCACAACAGAAAGTCAGCAAAGCCTATGAATTGAATTCAGGAGAAAGACGAGGCTATCTGTCTACTATCCTAATTTAAGTTAACTGGATTATGCAGATGATTGTGCATGGGAGTGGGAACACAGGAATAGTATGGACTAATTAGAGGACTGTATAAGATCTGGATTTCACGGATGATTTATTTTTTTTTTATTTTTGATTTACAGCTTGATTCCACACCGTATTTTTTGGTACAAGTATGGAATTTTCAGCATGGATATCGGTAGCCCAAATTTTGCAGGCCGACCATAGATATCAGGTGTGCGCCGGCGTGGGCTCGAACCCCGGACCATGTTCATGGTCGGCGAGAGTCCTAACCACTGTGCCACCGACGCACGTTTAGTGTCACACTAAGTGGAAGACTTACAGACACATAACATTATTCTGGCTGAAGAAGATGGCAGTGAAGACAAGATATATTTCAGGTGAACATAGAGAAGACGAAAATGGTGCAAATGACCAACCAACAGCAAAAACAACCAGCACCATTCCCTATCAGCGAGAGAAGCCTGAAAGGGATCACTATATTCACTCATGTAGAAGGTATCGTTTCAACTACAGGAAGTCGGAACGGATGAAGATGTCAAAGCTAGTCAGCCAGCCAGGCAGCCAGAATCGGAAAGGCAAGATGCGCCTTCATTGACCTGAAACCAGTCTGCAAAAATCTTCTGCATTCCGCATTATAAAGAACAAGAATCGGATTTTCAACACCATTGTAAAGTCACTCAACTGGTGATTCTATGCTAGTCAAAAACGTGGCCAGCGTGTCACGAAAATCATTTCCAATAAGCGCTACAGAGGAATTTCGTCAGCAGCTGCCTTCGACTGATCCATACTGAAGACCGAATTGCCAGTCGGTCAGAAAGAATTAGCAACAAAAACTCTTGCAATAAAACAACCAAGAGTTTATAAATCAATAAACATGTAGAAGAAAATAGAATTGGATCAAGAATATGTTGAGGAAGCCGTCGAATGACATAGCGTGCACTGCAGGCCATCATCATCATCATCATCACTCGAGTGGAATCCGTATGGGAAACAACGAGTAGGATGTCGGTACGAGGTTGACATAGAGTAAAATATGTGAAGAGTAGATGAGAGGCTATGAGAAACCGTGTGGCCAGATGAAGAGGACAGCTGAGAAAACAGAACACAGTGGAGATGTGTTGTTGAAGCCAGCCCGATGTTTCACTCAAGAACTCAAAGGAACAATAATAATCCTAAATGGGGATTATCGTTCAAGGAGTTAGCTAGTATTTGTTTTTCTAATTCTATCTACTAGAGAATGTTGATGTGAGGATTTCACCAAGATGGGTTAATTGAGTTGTATTACTTCGAGAATAATATCTTAGTCACATTTCAACTGTTTCTATCATCATCCTAAACTGAGTTGGTGGTCCGAGATTCGATCGCCTGCCGATCCAGACCTGATATCTACGGTCAGCTTGCAAAATTTGGGCCACCGATATCACATGCTGAAAATTGCATACTTGTACCAAAATACAGTGTGGAATGAAGCTACAATCAAAAAAGGACATCACCAGTGTTTGACGCTCATTCAATGAGGAATGAAGATCTGAGATTGACTGTGTATTTATATTTTCTCAAAATTAATTGAAAATATTGTTGAATTTTTATCAAGTAGGAATGTTTGACAGGAATTTTGATTGAATATTTCGTGTGTTTACGCTGGATCATTTTTATTATTTGTGTGTCATCATTATCGTTAAAGTGAACACAACTGACGAAAATGATATGTGTATATTTTGAATACTTTCAGACTTCGTCTTGTCCTTACAGGAAAGTCTGGGAAACTTGTTCCAATGCATTGTTTCCCTGATGGTTTCGCATTCCAACCACACTCTTTATTGTTAGTTGAACATTTGAAAAGTAAGTGAGAATAAATTTAATAGAACTAACGTTTATCATAATTGAGATGTGGATTTCAGTAGTGACGATTATTTAAGTAATACTTTTTATCTAATATGTCTTTAACCACCTTCCTTATTGGATTTCAGTAGTCTCATGTAGTTTACAAATATGAGTCGATATTATTGTCATCAGCATATGTGATGAGATACTGACGAGGATCGTTAAATTTTTCAAATTTATTAGAATACTATATTATTATTATTGTCTCCTTAGTTCCCAGAGGAAATTAGGGTTTCAGCCGCATGTCTCCATTGCGTTCAGTTTTTCCACAAACGTTTTCGTCTGGCTTCACGTCTGCCTACATGCTTTCATCTGCTCTTCACATGACCTCCACCATGTCACCCTCGCAGTGATGACCAACTCGGCGCCACCTATTCGGGTTCCACTCGACCGATGACCTGGCGTATAATGTCACTTGATGGTTTGTTTTCTCAGACGATGACAAATCCAATCCACCTCCATTTCTTCCCGCATATTTGTTACAGAATCGAATCCTGCTGAGTTGGTTCGTTCATTACCAGAGATCCCTTCCCTGTTGCTGATCTCTCCTGGCCGGCCATCTTATCTTGAGCGAAGATAGCTGTTTTGTATTGAGTGACGAAGGCTGTTGATGAAGGTGTGAAGTTCGTTCGAAGTGCCCTTCGTGACGCGCTGTCCAAGTCTCTGATCCGTATGTTAAGTGGCACTTCCCGTTGGAGTTGAAAATCTGGATATTATTTTTCATGCTGTGCTAAGTGAGGATCTCCTGCACACGAACTTGAGAGTAATGAAAGCTTGCATTACTTTCCCGACCCTCGCTTTGATGATGTCGTCATCAGTCCTGTCTACCTGTAGTTGAAACGATGCTTCACGGATAGGTAGGTAAGTAAGTATGTGCGTAATAGGTAGTCGAAGGAGGTTGCTTCTTTCTTTGAGATACGTTACCACCGATGATTGCCCTTTCCCTCAAGTTTAATGTAAACTGGCCAATTTGTAAATGTTTTAAATACTTGCGAGAATGAACAATACTGTTTGAAGTCATATTTAAATCAATTAAAATAAAGTGGACAGAAGAGATTATGTGTAATTCAGTGGAGGAGGTGTTTGATGACCCATGTTTGAAACAGGCCACCACTCTCTCAGCCAGCCAATATTTCTAAGACCTAAGCTGTTTTGAATACTTGACTGAGGCGATGAAACTTAATTACTCAGGTCACCAAACAACCACGCATAAAGGATAAAATAATAATTTCCACATGTGATTTATTCATTTAACTCATGAACATAATTGTACTCATATTTCGCTTAATAGAGAATTGGTTAGAAACAGTTAATCAAAATACTGGTAAACTTCAGTACTTCAATCGACTCACTTTAGAGTGTACTTCTCATTTACCTGATAGTGAACAGCTAACATTTGCGTGAGTTTTAATGTTTCTATATTATCAATGATATGCATATTTCATATTCTTTGTTATTTTTGGCAAATTAATCCAGTGATCTCATTACTTCATTTAATGGGAGATTCTCAGCTCGTTTGTTTGTTTGTTTGGCTGCACTACGAAACAGGGTTCATGGGGCCAGTTATCTTGACTGATATTTGTCTTCAGAAGACATTTCAGGGTCCATCAGGGTTTAATGGTACCAGACATCGCCCGATTAGACGGAGGATAATGACGAAACGACCTACATACACCATCTCAGCGCAATGCAGCCAGTAGTTCTCCTCTTTCCTATAACACTAATTCATTATAAAGATTTATTTTCGACAAGACAATAAAAGACGTAGTTTATCTGAGACGTGTAATGTATTTACGCAAAACAATTCGGATATTCTCATCATATACGAGTACTTGTCATACACAATTTTATAGAAGGCAAGAAGGCATGAATAATTAGAGTACAAGTCGGATTGTGTGCAGGTCAATGTCACAAATAATGGGTAGGTCGATGACGCAAATGTGTGGATGAGAAAGAGAAATAAAGCAGAGAAGGGGTTGAAAATATTATGAAGTAAATTGAAGCATGGTTCTAAATTGGATTACCAAGGCAGGTTTCAAGTAATAACAAATAACTTTTAGACACATAAGACAAGTTTACGTCTTTTTATGGCCAAGGCTTCAACGAATTTATGTGTGTGACCCAACCTTGTTTAATATATATGGGCTTAAAGTCATTGTAGAAATCAACCTTATATCTTGTCTCGATAGTGTGCTCCGCTATAGATGTCGTTGGACGTCTGTTTCCGGGATCAATTGTATCTGGCGATTTTATTTGTTGTTACAGCCACTCTGGAATATGTTCTGTAGCCCTAACCTGCAAAAACCGATGAGTCCTCCCTATGTACGTGTGTCCTCCACACACACATGTAAATTCATAAACACAATGGGATGTCACACTATCGTTCAGATACTGTGAGGGTTTACAGGACAACACTGTTCTCGTTTTCTCACTGAAGATAAGTTACGCTGCATAATAAGTTCTATTAATTGTCGCCTTGTGTCACTGGTTAGTGTTCAGATTTTGTTGATCACACTTTATGGCAGCTGATTGGATTGGTAGATCACTTTGGTTGACACTTCCGTAACGCCTAATAAATCTCAGAGGATAATTGTTATCTGACAATATTTCAGTGAGGTGTTGTCTTCCTTCTTCAGTTGTATCGGCAATACATATACGGTGAATGCGCTTGAACAAACATCTAACCAACGGTTTTTCAAACTGCAGTGGCAGAAACTATGATAATTTAGACACTATCCCGTCCATGTGGACTTTCTGTAGACAGATCGTTTTACTGACCCATATTCTCAGCGGGTTATGAGTACATCTAAAAATGCCAAGCAATCATTTTTCTCTTTAACGTATGCTGGCGATATACTGTTTTTTTAACCCTATTGATCTGGTTTAAGATTTCTGTGGCGTCTGTCGGTTTATCACAAATGACTATTACGTCATCTACATATATATATACATATATATACATATATATATATATATATATATATATATATATATATCAGCTAACAATGGACCTATGAGGCCTCACATTTATTTTCAATTTTGACCACTACAAATACAACTGATATGAAATGTGTCAAAATCGACAGGCCCATAAATCTCCTCAGCCACCTAAACTGATTAAATCTCTATTGTGTGGGCGAAAAATTCTGAAGGGCAAGTCAGAGGCAAACTGAACAACATGACATGGCTACAACCTGTTTTAACGAAAAGTCAGTTAAGGCGAGTTTAGATAAATTAAGTGAGTAGTTAATAAGAGTAATTGATCTGAGCATAACACATAACCGTTCGAACAACATCCACCAAATCTCTTCAGTGAAATGACTGGCTGTGTTTTAGATAGTGTAATTGAACATTCACAGAGGAATATCAGCCTTGATGTTTTGTCAACAACCTGTGAAATAATTGTGATGAAATATTCAAACATGAGGAACTTAGATTGAGGTCATAAGGAATGCTAAGTGTAGAGTAGAATATTCTTTGAGCGGCTAGAATACACGTCATTGAACAATGAAAAATACAATCCTCCATTAACCAATGATTATTTCCTTGAGTGCCAGGGGAAACACAGGGCTACAGTAGCACACCTCCATTTCATCCTGTCCTCTGCAGTCCTCCCTTACAGCTGGTCAATATACTCCTATTTTAACTCCTCACACGATCCCCTCCATGTCACTCTTCGATCTATATCCGATTCTTCGCTTCCTGTGTGGTTTCCAATTGTGCGATACCACTTAATAGTAACTGGAGAGCATGTCCAATGCATCTCCATTCACCTTCACAAATTTTTTGCTGGATAGGCACTTGATGAGCGCGTAACCAAACTTCCTTCTCGCTTATCCTTTATTCATTTGTCATAAAATCTTCAGTATTAACTGAAAACTGCTGTCGATGAAATTCTGTAGTAGCCCATCAGAAATGGTTTTCATGCTATATTTAGTCTGTGAATCATAGAAAATCATTGACATGCCAGTAGTGTTGAAAATCCGAATATTGTTCCTCAGAAGAGGAGAGTGCAGTAGATTTCCACACTAATTCCACAGTGCTGGGGTACATCGTATTTCAATACTACGGCTTAACTCAAGTCTTTGTCAACCTCATTTAACAGCTGGCTATATGACAATGCCACGTGAAATTTGATCCACAACGGAAACCTCAGCTGGACGTTCGAAGTGTGTACAGGAGTAAGACAAGACTTACCTGGCCATTATCACCGATGACATTCCTAACTGTGGTGGACTGGATTATGCATCAGACTATAGGGAGCGAGGAGTCAAGAATACACTGAACCACCGATGAGAAGGCTATAGAAGATCTTGTTTTCGCGTATGATATATGTCTATGCCACATAAACGTGAAGACTTACAGGGGAAAACTAACAAACTGGCCGAAGAAGAGTCCAACTAAGACAGGACTACAGGTGAACATAGAGAAGATGGAGGTGATGAAGAATAACCAGCCAACAAAAAGCAACAATAACCAGCACCAATCACCAACGACAGGAGATATTTATCAGAGGTTACCTCCTTCATTTATCTGGCTAGGAAGCATCGTTTCAACTACAGACCAGTGGAACGGATGAAAATGTCAAAGTGAGAATTGGAAAATCAAGATACGCCTTCAGCAACCTGAAACCAGTTTGGGAATCTTCTGAATTCCACTGCATTAAAGAATAAGATTCAGATTTTCATCACCAATATAAAGTCAGTCAGTTGGTGCTTTTATACAAGTCAAAAACGTAACCAGCGTGTCACAAAAAGCATTTCCAATAAGTTATAGAACTTTATCAACAGCTGCCACCTTCACTGGCTCCATACTGATGATCGAATGGCCAACCAGGAAGAATAAGTCACAAGAAACCCCGAGTTGGAACACACCAACCAATAACCGATCGCTCAACAAAATATGATGGAGAAAATCGGGACGGATTGGGAACACGTTGAGGAGGCTATCCAATGAGATTTTGCGCAATGCAGGCCATCACTCTCGAGTGGATTCCAAATGGGAAGTGACGAGTGGGTTGTCGGTGCTAGAGTGATGTGAATGAGAACGTATGAGATGAGAGATTATGGGCAGTCGTGGATGTAGCTGAAGAGGATGACAGAGAATAGAAGAAAGTAGAGATGTTTTGTTACACTTGGAACCCAAGGGAACAATAATAATGTAATAAGTCCACTAGTTCACTAGATCACTGGACTGCTTCTAAGCCAGAAAATAGACAAAAGATTGGGATTTGTACTAGCAACCCTATACTGCAAAATCGATCCAATCTCGACAGGAATTTCAAATCATTAAAAAAAAATTTACCAAAAATAGACTTGTCCTTCTTCAACTCAATGTAATTCAATCTCCACGATGCATTATCACACTTTCTATTCCTTGGTAATTCTAGCAATTAGGTTGGTTAAATGACTAATTTTGATGGGAAAACTCATCTCACTTGAAAATACACACCCCGTGTCTATTAACGTATTTATTATTTTCATCTCCCAGTGAAACACAGTACACGCAATTACCTTGGGAAACAGAAGAGGAGAATCGCACGGATGTCATGGCTTTTCTCGGACAAATTGAAAAGATGAAGTTTCTCAGCAGACGAAATAATTATTGATTGATTATTTTGTAACGCAAATTGGATTGAATTTCATCTCAGATAATACACATATGGATTCATTTCCTACACAGAGTAATTTGTCACAATATAAATAGAGAAGTTTATATTGAAAAAAAAAAAGATTTTCTATTTTTGCTTTTAATTTTGATGATTTCACGAAAGGCGAATCTTCATCTCGCCACCTGACACTGGAATCCAGAATGTGCAAGCATGTTGTCGTAATTTAGATTCATCGGTTATATCTAAATATCTGTCAGCAATCTGGATTTCAATGAAAGTCATCATTTCTCTAGAGGAATCATATGTAAGAATGAATACAAAAGGATTGAAAGAGTAAATATTCACTTTTCAATTAGATCCTCATATATCTATGGTCAGCCTGCAAAATTTGGGCTACCGATATCACATGCTGAAAATTCCATACTTGTACCAAAATACAGTGTGGAATCAAGCTGTAATCAAAAATAAAAATAAATATGGTTATACTCCAATAGACATACAGTTTTTCTATTTTCCAATAAATGGAAAACATTTCCAGTCAATTAGAATCAGGCACAACGCTATCACAAAGATGTACACTGGACACCAGTGAAATAATTAAGAGCTTGAAATTCTGTCGTCTAGAAAGTAATTATTTTGCATTTAAAGGAATTTATGTAGACAGAAAATGATGTTGCTATGAGTTCACCAGTCTTCCCAATAGTCGCTGATCTGTTCATGAATAAATTCGAAGATAACATCTTTTCAAGTATATCGACTCCTTAGTTATGTAGATGATACTTTTGTAGTGGTAAAATGAGATCTACACACAGTTCATTCCTGGAGAAAACAAACAGTCTATCTCCCAGAATCCATTTTATTTTGGAAGCAGAATCAAACGTTGGCGAACTACTATTTCTAGACAACCTGACTAGTTAAGAAGGGGGGAAAATGGACATTTGAGGGTATCTATATATTCAGGAAGAAAACACACTCCAATAAATATTTAGACTTCGAATCATCACATCCCATGAGTGCAAAGATTTCAGTTGTTTCAAGTCTTCTTAGACCAACCCACTCTTTGATGCTAACGGATAAGAAAGAAAAAGATGAAGAAATATCAAACATTACTGAAACTCTCAAGAAAAAAAAAACTTCTACCCAAAGAACTTCATCAACAAAATCAACACTGACATTGGATATGGTTGAAAACGTGTTTTGAAAACATGAACATCAACAGTTGTCATTCCATATAGAGCGGAGAGGTCAGACAATATCAGAAGAGTAATCAATAAGCACAACCTCAGAGTTTTTTTTTTTAAACATCATACACACACTATATAGCAACCTTGCTTATGTAAGGGATCGAATTCCAAAGAATACCTAATCTTATTGTGTCTACAAAATAAAATGTTCCGAATATGATGCAATGTATATCGGACAAACACTGCTAGAAATCAAATTAACCAGAATAAATGAACACCGTAGGACATATTTTCGACCACCTCTGCAGATCCAGTTGAACTAGAAAAGCTTGAAAAATCATAAGCCATAGGTCTACATGCTACGCTATAGAATCAAGCCACAAAATTCACTTTGACAATATTGAAATCATCATTCACAAAAAGCAAGTCAGAAATCACAAAGGACGTCTCATATCATCAGAAGCACTTCATACCAAGTGGAATCCAAATTGTCTGTATAGGAATGATGGAGTAAAACAGAATTTGACCTGGATACAACACATCCCTCCCCAACCATGAAGTGACAAAATCAACACAAATGTGGGATAAGCAATTTCATTATGTAAACACACGCTGCTTTTACAATTTTACACACTTATCAAATCCAACAATCTTCACTTGGTTTTGTTATCTTTACCAACTGGCCAACTTGACAACGGAAAAATCACTCCATGCTGAGGAATGATGATTAAGTTGTTATATGTAAGCTGACAGTTTGTAAATTTTGGTCTAATAATACGTCAGTAAAAACAACAGTATCGTTTTGATTATCATTCACATTGGGAAATACGAATAGAACCCGGAAAGTGCAACTCAAATGACTAACAAATAAGGCGGCGAATAATTCTCCTACACTTCAAAAGTATGCATGTTCGTGGATTTATAGGTATGTTGTATCGGTTGATTTGACTACTACTGGTCAATTGATTTTTAAATCGATTTAAGAATAGGATATTAAATAACTGCATAAATTCTTTCAGTAATTCACTGATATTAACTTTGTTTATCAATAAAAGAAGTTCATAACCAGATGAAGCTTCTTTTATCAAGCGATAGAGCATATCTATAAATCCCCGAACATGCATACTTTTGAAGTGTAGGAGAATTAATCGCCGCCTTATTTGTTAGTCATTTGAGTTGCACTTTCCGGGTTTATTATTGACTGTAAAACTAGGTCATATTTAGGAATATGGCGGACAGGAATCGAACCCAGTTCATGCGTATTGTCGGTGACCGCCAGCCAACCACTACACCACACTGACGCACCACTCCAAGACTATTAGTCACAAATCATGGAGCGTTACACATTTTTTAACAATTGAGCCATCCTAACTCAAAGGATACAGTAACACGAAAGACGTCCACAGCTGTTTCAACATTGTATAGGATCTTCACACAAGGATGGAGTGTTTGAGTCTACAACTGATGTCTACTGGTTGTATAATGAGGCGCACAGTGTACTGGCACCAATGATGGAGAAAGATATATTTTATAATACAGAGACTATTGTTTCCCAAAATTAGTAGTGCGCTACATTGTCTCACTTACACAAAACTCTCATTTCTGTGGTTTTTCTGGTCAGGAAGTTGTCGAACTGATTGTGATTCGTTTATCTTGGAACACTGAAAGTGTGGATAAAATCCTGTTGTCTATTAATACCTATAACTAACACTAACTAATATCTATGATTGTATATGTTACTGGATTTACATGCGCAAGTCGACCCAAGTCAGCGAGTCTATGGTTTTGATATCGTTTTTGTTAACTGCATGTGACAGTGTTATTACTGCTATGGTTTTTGTTGTCGTTGTTGTCTCTCCCTTTCGTGCTGTGATTTTTTTCTTTGTTGCTCTGATTGCCTTATTTCTTGTTTTCCCTGATTCTAAAGGGAGCAACCCAAAAAGTCGCTCCTCTGGAACGAACATGTTTATGTAACAATCCTCGCCCCGGGTGTGAGGCTAGCAACCCCACTCTGTAAACAAAACTGCTACAGAAGCTTCAGCGCGAATGAAAGAAAAGTGTGTATGGTAACATGGTACATCCCACACTATTTCCGAGACCGTCATAACTGCCCAGACTGCAAATGGGATGAAAAGATAAGGTATTCATGTACTGGGAATGTGTGAAAGCTGATGGAATGGGAGTGGACTCACCGAATTGTCAACCGAAGGATGGGTGATCCTCTTCCGGTCACCCAGAAAACAACTACGAGCAAACCGAGGGCGTGGCTGTCATGATTTTACCAACGCCAACGAAGCCCCTCATACAATGTGAGGCAATCTCGCCCAGGATAATAATGACCGCTAGATTCATCTCAAAAGGAATTATTTATTACTATATTGTTTCCTTTAATTTCTAGAACGACACAGAACTTCAGTCAGACGTCTCCATTGCGTTCGATTCTCTGCCAACCTTTTCACATGGTTGCACATCTGCCCACATGCTTTCATCTCCTCTTCACATGACCTGCTACTTCATGTCACCCTTGCACTGACGACCGACTCGCCGTTTCCCATTCGATTTCCACTCGATCGATGGCCCGGCGTGTGATGTCACTTGTTGGTTTACTCAGAGTATGGCCAATCCACCTCCATTCCTTCATGAATATTTGTTGCACAATCGGTTCCTGGTTGGTTCCCTCCCACAGATTCCTGTTACTGTTCGACTCTCGCCAGCCATTTGATCTTTAGTATGGACCGAAGAAAGGAATGTGATAATTATGAAGTGGTATGCACCCACAAACAACTTAGACGTAGTCGAGAAAGAAGAGTTGTACAGCCCAACAATGAACAATACTGCATCCGGCGACATTAGCATCCTAATGGGAGACATGAACGCCAAACTAGGACCAGACAACACAGGAAGAGAACTCATTAGGAGTAGAGGAGCAGTTAGAGAGATGAATAGGAACGGAGAACTCTATGCTGACTTCTGTGCCTTCAAATAACTAGTGATTGGTGGCAGTGTATACTAGCACAAGGACTTCATGTCAATGCTGATCAGGAAGTGGAGACGCAGCTTACTGGACACAAAAGTAAGAAAAGGAGCAGGCGTTGGCTCAGACCACTATCTCGTACAAGGAACACTCCAAATCCAAATAAAAACTTTCAAGGAAACAGGGGCTGCAGATAAACCACAAGCCAAGTTCAATAGTCAAAAACTTAAGGATCAGGCTGCAAAGGACACCTTCACTGCAATCACAAGGAAAAAGGCGGAGACACAAATCGACACTAGCGAAGAGAGCAGCGTTGAAAAGCACTGAAACAACCTGAAATCGATATGGAGTCAAACCTGAATGGAAGTTTTAGGCAGAAAGAAGACACAGGACAAATAGTGGCTCACTACGGACACATGTAGACTAACGGAAGAGAAGAGAGAAGGAAGGAAGTGAAACAAAAGATTATCCAGTGCATCAACAAGCAACAGAAACAGGAGTTGAATGCGACCTACAATACGCTGAACAAAAGAGTAAAGAAGAGTTCTAGGGAAGACAAAACATAATGTTGTTATGAAGCTATATGTCAAGTGAAGCAGAACAAACAAGCTGCAGGCAAAGGAGACCTCTCAACACTCCACCAAACAACTAGGTTCCTATCGGGGAAGAGATCAAAAGAAATTACGCCAGTGAAGGATGACAAGGATAAGTCAATCACCAAAGAGGTGGAGGAAAGCAAACACTGGGCTCAACACTTCAAAAGGCTTCTAAATCGACTACCACTTTCAACGCACCCAATAATACTAACAGCGGAATCTGATAATGATTATCCTGCATTACTTGATTGTGTAGCACACAGCGTTTCTAGTCCCATCTCATCCCCCGTACTTTAGCCTAGGCAATGGTGGGTAGTAGTAGTAGTAGCATTATTATCTTCATATACATGGCTTAAAGCCTGGTAATTGAAAACTGTGAATTAGACAATTAGTTATATGCTTATTAGATGAATTGACGAGACGTTTACGAACAGCGACAAGTGAAATTCCAGGCCAATTTCACATTGAAACAACTACATTGAATCCATTGTTCAATGTTTCACTACAATTCGACCAACTGAAAGAAACAGTTTTATCAATTAGACAAGGTTTACATCAAAAATGAATCAAACAAGTCTCTCTCTCTCTCTTTCGACAATGTAAAAATGTGTACACATTGTTTATTTTTCTATTAAAAAGTTTCATAGATTATATAAGAAACTCGTTTTTCCCAATGTTTCTCAATGTTGTTAATAGCATACAAGCGTTGGTTGGTTTTCAGGGATTTCGTTGATTGGTTACAGGATTTCATCATGAAGTGACATTGATCGGTCAGAGAACCATTTTAAGACCTGCAGGGAGTACTGGATAGCTGTTTCCGTTGTTCTAGTTTGGGACTCTTCATGAGTATACACACCCATTGGGACTGGAACCCAGGACCTTCTAGTTACAAGGCGAGCTAGCTGGTAGATGATCCCTAGGCCAGCCACTGTCATCCGATCCAGTGGTCAATGAATTCTGACTTCTACCAATTCACTAATTTTTTTTTTGATTTACAGCTTGATTCCACACTGTATTTTTGGTACAAGTATGTAATTTTCAGCATAGATATCGGTAGCCCAAATTTTGCAGGCCGACCATATATATCAGGTGTGCGTCGATGCGGGCTCGAACCCCGGACCATGTTCATGGTCGGCGAGAGTCCTAACCACTGTGCCACCGACGCACTAATAGTGAATGTCCTTCCTGACAAGTATTTGTCTTCACACCTCATCGACTTGGTGTACCTCACTGGTAATTATTTCCAACTGGAGGCTGGATAGGAAGCAGTTGTTAATAACACAGTGCATGCATATATAACTGTAGAACGTGATGAAGAAATTATGGGAAAGGATATTCTGTGTTCGGTAACCATTGTTTTGAAAAATTACAGTGGGCGTTTTTAATCCGTAGAAACTATATTTTTGTTTTTCACAGTCTTTTTTGCTACTTTTCCACTGTCATGTTAATAACCTTTAACAAAATAGTAACAAAGTAACCGAGAATTTACGAAATTCTAACTTATATACCTACGTTTAGTGGATGAATTAATCATAGTTCTGGACAGAAAAAAAGATCAGACGATATGGAATTCGCAAATGACCTATGCATAGTGTCAACAAAATTTGGAAGTCTACATGTGAAAACCAACGAGTTGGCAGGAGAACCATCAAAGACAGGACTACAGGTGAATATAGGGAAGGCGGAGAGGGTGAATATACACATCGACCAACAACAACAGGCACCAATAGGAGTAGTCTAAAGGAACTCGTCTGTTTTACTTATCTGGATAAGCAGCGTCGGGTGAATCAACAGATGGGGAAATGGATGAGGATGTAGAAACCACCAGTCAGATTGTAATCAGTAAAGCAAGATGGATGTGTAATACTTCTGACCTCTGTGTGGTAATCCAAGCTCAACACTTCAAATAAATTACTGGATCTGAATTTTCAACATGATTGTTAAATAGTTGAATGCTTCTATATAGTCTAATGACTACTCGGCTGCCACGTCATGATGACATTTCCAACAGGCTACTGCTGCTGCAGATCTTCATCAACAGTTGTCTTCACATTACACTGAATATCAGGCCGCCGGTTATAAAGGATAATTAACAAACAAACAGTAAAAGGCAGCCAACGAACCAACCAAAATCCTGTTGGCTGTGAAATAACTCAGGAAATAGAGTTACACGGCACATACACTGAGGAGACAGCCACACTACATCACTCGGCTGGAAAACAGGTTAGGTTTTCGAGAGTGACATGGAGAAGATACGATGACGAGGAAATGATAGCTTACGGGCAATCCTGGAATCAGCTGCAAGTGACTACAGAATTGTGATTATTATTCCTATGGGTCCCGAGTGGAACATGGGGCTTCAAGCTAGAGCTAGTAGTGGTTCTTTTATCTTCACGGGATGAAGGTGCTAGTCTCATGCCCAGCACTCCGTCTTCACCGAACTCAATAACTGCCTAGCGTCACTAAGCCACCAGCAGTGCATACATCTGAACTTGGTTTAGTCATATTTTATAAATTAAAAGCAGAAAGTCAGCTTTGTGTTAGAAGTGAGCTGCAATTACCATCGTTACAGTGTAGTTTCGTTGTGTTCCTTCAACGCTTTTTTTTGACTGTCTACACGGATATCACACTCTATGGACAAACAGTACATACAGAAGGTTGACAGTAGGTAATACGACAGAGAACACAGGACAAGATGTAGAGATATCCGGTAGTTAGGACCACTAGTTTGAAACAGGACGTGTGTTTAGTCCGTACTTGGATGTAACTGCATCTTCTATTGTGTAATGATGATGATGATGACGACGATGAATATTCCACTGAAATGAGAAATCAATACCACCCATGTCAAAGCACTTCTCCATCTGGTTAATAAAGTCAACAAGTGTGGTGGTTAGCATCCTGTTAATTGTCTTGAGAAAGACGACTTGATGTCATATATACTTATTAAGAGATAAGAGGCTGCATTGTTCTACTCGACAGCTTCTTCTTCTTCTTATCACAGTCAACCATTTGCTTCATCATCTCGTCTAGTCCATACAAATCATCACAGTGTAACCGTCAGAGGAGGAGGCGGCGGAGCACATATTATAAGTATAAATATGACAGACATTCTGTATTCTCATATTAACATTTCAGTGGAATCTATTGTAGCCAATAAACTCCACCTTTTAACAACAACTATTACGTTATTAAAACAACAGGATTTAAATGGGTATTTTTTGCGGTAACATTAATTCAAGGATAGATACCAACCAATTCATACAGTCGGTTCCTTTCATTATAGACGAACATATTCGGAGGATAATACGAACTCGTTTTATTTCATGGTTTTCTTCTCTCTTCAAATTGTGCACATTGTAATCACATAGTCACATAATACATTGTGAAATTTCTCAACATGCTTTCTTCACAGTGATTTTGAGTTATCGAGAGAGAGACAGGGAAAAAGTATACGCAGCATAATTCCAGAAAATGTTGTAAGTAGACAAGTTATTCAGTGTTAAAAGAGTAACTGTTTATATGGAGTTTCAGGATTTCATCATGAGCTGACATTGGTTAGAGAACCATTGGAAAACCTGGGAGTACTGGACAGCTGTTTCGTCCTAGTTTGAGACTCTTCAGCAGTATGCACCCACCGGGATTCGAACCCAGGACCTTCCGGTTACAAGGCGAGCCCGTATACCATTAAGCCACTGGGACCCGATCCAATGGTCCTTGAATTCTAACTTCTTCCTATTCACGACATAGCGCGACCGCTAGCCAATGTCTTCGGCGAGTATTTGTCCTCACACCCGACCAGCTGCACCCTACTGGTCACGACTTCCCAGTGGAGAACCCCAGGTAACTACCTACCTGAATAGGCCCAGTCGCCAGTGAACATCTCATTGGTATTCAAGTGTTGGTTTGTAGGGATTTGATTGGTTTACAGGATTTCATCATGAGCTGACATTAGTTAGAGAACCATTGGAAAACCTGAGAGTACTGGACAGCTGTTTCGTCCTAGTTTGGGACTCCTCAGCAGTACGCACCCACCGGGATTCCAAACCAGGACCTTCCAGTTACAAGGCGAGCTCGTATACCATTAAGCCACTGGACCCGATCCAATGGTCCTTGAATTCTATTTGGAGAAGAGATAAAGTGGATGACTGGAGTTCAGATTTAGCTTGGAAACATGCATCGACTATAGATAAAATACAAGATAGAACAACAACAAGAACAACCACAATAACAGCATGACAGAATTCGAAATTTATGCGTATTATAGTAGAGAGTTTTAGGAGGATGGGTGGGGTGAACGGTTGAAGTAAAATTATAAAAGGAATTTAATTTAGTAGATTTGAAGACTTACTTAATAATGAGTTGAACTCATTAAGTGAAAATCAAGATTGGATGGAATATAATGCAACAGAACAACAAAAAAAACAAAAGCACACGAACAAAACAATCACGGTTACCAGGGCAGCGAGAGATTAGTCACGCACGCTACCTGTCTGTATGCATAGGTTGGGTCGAAGTCTTCTTCTAATGATAGCAATGGCTTCAGCGAACCGAAACAACCATGCTTTTCTATGTGTATTTATTATCTCGACTAATGTCCTGTGTCAATCATGAGTCTGGCAATTGCGCTAGTGAGCACTTTGCTGCGTTCCTAACCAAAACTATTAAGGATATGCTGGGAGAATCTAGTGGATGCTCTCCACTCAGTCCTTCGTAGGTGCATGCTGTCGTAAGTGCAGGTGAATTGGTAAATGCACTAGGAGCCGATATGGTCAGGAAACACACACCTACTTTTGATTGAGTTAACGAGCATAATGTAACGTAAAGTAAAGTGGAATGAGTGTGTGGGTGCGAAATGTTCTTCTCAATGCATGTTTAATTTTGTTTTACATTCTTATGGATACTTCTTCGCCTTTGTACGCCAGACAGATACAAACTGGTTTCTTTTCAACTACCTCCGGTTTTCGTCTAGGTGGTTATTTTCTTCCCATGTTAACATAACATGAACAGAACAAAGAGAATGTTGATATACCAAGGCAAACACGTGTACGAATAGAAATGTCTTTCTTTGCTCCTAACAATACACATGTATGTAAGATTGCTTCATTAAATTTCATCTACATGAGCAAGACTATATGCTAATATAATAAGATGTACACAGAAATAGCTTATTACAGCTACACATGCATCCATAGTGGTCGTCTACAGGGTAGCTCGCCTCGTAACTAGAAGGTCCTGGGTTCCAGTCCCAATGGGTGTGTATACTCATGAAGAGTCTCAAACTAGAACAACGGAAACAACTATCCAGTACTCCCTGCAGGTCTTAAAATGGTTCTCTAAACGGTCAATGTCACTTCATGATGAAATCCTGTAACCAATCAATCAAATCCATGAAAACCAACCAACAACATTGGCAAAATAGAAAACGAGTTTCTTGTATAATCTATGAAACTTTTTAATAGAAAAATAAACAATGTGTACACATTTTTACATTGTCGAGAGAGAGAGACTTGTTTGATTCATTTTTGATGTAAACCTTGTCTAATTGATAAAACTGTTTCTTTCAGTTGATCGAATTGTAGTGAAACATTGAACAATGGATTCAATGTAGTTGTTTCAATGTGAAATTGGCCTGGAATTTCGCTTGTCGCTGTTTGTAAACGTCTCGTCAATTCATCTAATAAGCATATAATTGATTGTCTAGCATATTCGACAAATTGATAGTGTCTTAATGTAGACTCCATAGCCTTGTTGTCCATGTCACTGTCATCATCACTATTATTGTTGTTAATTTTATTATCTTGACTTTTCACTCTTGAAACCTCCTTCATCTTCGACTTCCTATTTTTCTTCTTCTCCTCCCGCTTTGAAGATGGTAGGGTAGATTGATGTATTGTTGTTACTACGGACTCAGTAGTTCTGACTTTGTGCTTGTTGTCATCATTATTATTGTAACCATTCATGGATGACTCATTCATCTGCGAATGATTTGTCTGATTATCATCACCATCGTCATTATAATTACTGTTATTGACTTCAACAATAGACTCTTCTATCGCTTCTGATCTTCTTCTCAGTTGATTCGTCGTCGTCTCTGAAGGTGTCACAGTTGATTGATTTAGCTTTAATGAGGACTCCATGGTCTTGTTATCTATGTCGTCATTATTATTTCCATTCACGGTTGTTTCATTCGTCATCGTCAACGTTTCCGTCTCTGAAGGTGGAAGTTTTGGAATAACTGATGTAAAATTAGAAACTAAATCAGTTAATGAATGCAGTAGAATACACAATTCTCTATGTGAACCGACATCATCATCGTCATTACTGTTATTACTGGCACAAGAAGATGACGCCTTACACCATAAGTCGAATACATGAAATGTCAATGCGAATAGATCCAATGTACCATGAAGTTCTACACAGACATTCATTGAAAATAAAATAGAATAAACAAAAAACACTGGTAAGTGTAACATCGAAAACTTCGCACTGATAAAAGTATTTTAAGCATAATAAAGAAGACTGAGGTTAAAGCATAATGCTACATTAGTCTACTCATGTACACATATATGTACTACTGATTGACCGGAATATATAAGTAGTTGGGAACCAGTCCAAACACTTGACGGCTGTTACCCTCATTTCATTTAGTGACAAGCTCATGCTCATCACAGTTGTGTCTCCCTCCGGATTCATTCAGGTCAGAGGGGTCGAACCGTTCAAATACTGGCTGATGACTAGCTACTAATTCGATGAATTCGTCATTTACAAACCACATATACACACACACAGAGTTAAAAAAGGGGGAACCACCACAGCTCCTTAGCGATGTATACTAGTGAGTTTGACTCAAGTCACAGACAGCTAGATATCAGTTCAAGCTAGTGGAATTCAACCTGCCCAACTGATAAAATAGACTTAACTACTATCATGCTCCACTGTTATTCATCGTATTAGGTAAATGATATATTGTGGTCCTAAATAATAATTCTCCTTTTCAAAGGAAACTTCCAAGTCCGTTATTCAATGAATACGACAAAAAATATGATCCCTAAAGGGACATAATAAAACACCTTTGTTGATGATGACAATGATGTCCCGCACGCGAAACCTCGCTGAAGTCTTTGACTTGAAGAAATGAGTAAGACAGAACTAACTGACTAGTATCACCGATGACTAGCCTGACTGCTAGAAAGACTCCGAAGGCAAGCAATGAAAATAAAAATGATAACCGTAATAAAACACGAAGAAAAGAAGCTTACTACTCCAATCTATTAAGAAGAAATGTCTTGACAGACTATTGACCCTTCCGTTTTCATGATCAATTAAAAATGTTGGTATGGGATAAGTTAGTACACCAGCCTTCATCAATCGGCCGAGTAAGAAGTATAAACGCCGCCAGCATCTTATCTGTCCCGTTACCGATATGATTCTCAGAAACTATGAGGAAGATACATTTATATACACAATTTTTAATGGAGGAATCAATAGTAATAATAACAATAATAATAACAGATTGAATGCATAATTATCAACTAACTCAAATGCTAATCAGATACGTTAGTGCTAGTCAAACTGATGGTATACCCACTCAAAAGTTGTTTATAAGACGAAGAGACCCGTATAATTAGATAGCGAACCTGAACGACGAGGGTAGGAGATGTTGCAGGATGATATTATTGAAGAAGCTGAAAACTCGTATAGCTCTTCAACTCTGTGTTGATTTACGACAGCTGAACAGCATAACAGACCTGAAAATGTGTACCATGCCAACTGTGGTAGAAAACCCCGATTATTGCCTATAAAGTGCAAATTTCTTCACAGTTATCGACTTCTGGTCATAATACTGACAGATACTGATGGAGCAAGTTTGTGGGGGCAGAAACAATATGCAATAAGAAGACGTATTCTTCTCTTCAAAAATTTAAAGCAATTAGTTCCCTTTATGAAACAATATAGCTTTAAAGGCATGCCCGGCGGATTAGTGGGTACATCCTTGACATTCAGACGATTAAAAACGTTGTTACTTAAAATCTTCAAGAACATGGAGGTGTTCGGTGATGGTTTCGTCATATACAGCCAAACTGAAAGTGACCGTGTGGGACATGTCGAGGGCATGTTAAACGCACTAAAGAGCTGGGAATACGGTTCAACAAAAAAATTCGCAGACAGCTAAAAGAATTTCACTCAGAGGGCTTTATCCATGAGCGCGCGTGAACATGTACCTGCATGGTTGAGTAACCAAATACATAAATAGTGCAGTCTTAGCCCACTTGGTAGATACTGGACATTCAATAAAACTTGATCAGGCGTTCTCACTTATCTACCGCGTTCCTAGTAATCTATCTAGAGGAGCTCAACTACGTCTTCTATCAGTAGCTGAAGCAGTCGCAATTAATACCAGAAGACCATCTCTTTGCATACAGAAGAAGTATGTTCAACCTCTTTGTTTACCTTGGCCTACAATAAAGCCAACAAATCCTCCATTAACACTATAAATTCCTTCCACAATTTTCTTTTCTTTTCCTTCTTCTATTCCTCTGTTTCACTGACAAACGTTCATTTTCGACTTTTTATGATTTCATGACCTTTGTTATGATTTCTATTACCTGGGTTTAAGTAGTGCTTTTCTAACTTGTTATCGTATTTGCAAAATCCTGTTCATTCCACTTCATTATATTCATTATTATTATTATTATTATTATTATTATTATTATTATTATTATTATTTGATAATCATTCACCAATAGTACTTGTAATTTTACACCATATCGTCGTTATTATTTTACAATCATTCTTAATGGCGTTATTTCCAATGTCTAGACCACCCCATTCGTTGGTTTATTTTCATGTTCTCTCACACACCCTGATTACACTCACTCTCAAAACATGTATTTTTCTGTTGACTATATTTATATATGTACACACACATCATTAAATTAAATTACTTCATCTCATTTTCCCCCATGTTCTCATTGACCATGCATATTAAAAAAACTATATGACTATATGACTATTGTTCCATCCCATCTTATACTTGTTCCACAATACACTTTCTGATATGATTCTAATTCGCCTTTACTGGCTATTGTATGATTAATAAGAACCCTACGTAGAGCATCAAATGTTCTCACTTTCTATAGAAGAGATAGGCGTAGGGGGTTACATATTATTCGTGAAGTTATATCATACCATTCAACATGGGAGAGTAGAACGCAAACACCTACGGTCAAGATTAATCTGGCAGCATAACCTCTGCTGACATTCAAAGTCCCATATCGAATTACTTACACAGTTGAATATTTAATGAGATAAATGGGAAAGGGGAAATTAACTAACCGATAGGACAGAAATTAACAGATGACTTGGTTTGATATTTAACTGACACCATATTCGATTGGATTCTACGGCTTTTTTGAGAATTGACTTCAATACTTCACTGCATAATTGATTAGAATAGCTGGCTATCTCAAAGATCAAATGAATTACACGTGGTGATACGAAGTTATCTGGTACTTTCAACTGATGATTGGTATGCTGCTGCCTCTCTGAATCAGTTGTAGGCAATACTGACTCAGTGTTACTGGCAGTTTTTGTTTTATCTTCTGTTGTCGTTGGTGGTGGTGGTGGTGGTGGTGGTGGCGATAATTCACCCGACGAAATAGCTTTGAAATGTATACCAGTACTACAAAAACAAAAACAAAAGAAGAAAACTGTTAAGACGAACAAGTTTCTCTGTTAGCCGTGAAGTCATGATTTCTACAATGTAGAGACGAGATCACCTACAATTGACTAAGTAGCTGTTTTCACTTGTGTATGAATGTCTCTCCTACTGTAACGGAAGAAGACGGAAGAGATCGCCAATCTCAGACATAGTGCAGACGTTCCATGTCCCTTCACACACTTTTCCTTCATTCGTACTGAAGTTTCCGGCGCAGTTTTGTTTACAGAGTGAGGTGGCTAGCCTCACGACTGGGAATCGGGTTGTTACATAAACATGTTAGTTACACAGGAATGACTTCTTGGGTTGCTCCCGTTAGAATCAGGAAAACAAGAAATAAAGCAATCAGAACAACAAGGAAACAAAAAAATTGCAGCATGGAAGGCGGCGACAACAACAACAACAGAAACCCAAGAAGTAATAACACTGTCACATGCAGGTAACAAAAATGATATCAAAACCATAGACTCGCCGACTTGGGCATGTAATTCAAATAATACATACATACTATACATATCAGTGGTGAAGTGGTCACAACTAGTGGTGTCCGTCAGTGATGCCTATTATCCCCATTTCTATTCAATTTCATCATAGATGTACTTATGGAATTAACCCTAATTGCTGACTTCAGCGACTCAGGCATTAACTTGTTACCAAAGAATAATCTCGTTTACTGGGAATATGCAGATGATATAGTCCTTCTAGGTGAGAATGCTGACATAATGCAGAGTCTTTCGAACACCTTGAGCAGCGAGCAATCTGCGAATGTTTGACATGCGAGTCGCTCTTGCTGTCAAATATAAGATAATACTACACTACATCACAGGACTGGACTACATTGACTCCTAGCTTAGAAATAGGGAGTGAAGTGGTTGGTGGAGCGTGTTGACCACTTCACTTATTTGGGAAGTTGCATAAGCCAGAGCCAATGGGTTGGTCGCTGACGACATCTCAGCACCGATACAGAAGGCTCGTTTCGCATATATCAGTTTACGCTGTCTCTAGCATAGATGTGATATCCGGCTGGTTGTCAAGCAAAAGACATGTGTACTGTTCAACAGTCCGCTCCATCTTCCTTTAGGGCTGTGACATCTAGCCAGCGACAACAACAACAGAAACCTTAATACAGTAACGCTTCATGGTTTTGTGACAATCAATCTTGGAGTGGTGCGTCAGTGTGGTCTACTGGTAGATTGGTCACCGACCATACGCATGAACTGGGTTCGATTCCTCTCCAACGCACTCCTAAACATGGCCTTGTTTTATAGCTGGTAATAAACCCAGGAAGTGCAACTACTTCAAAATTTCCAGCTCAATGTTCCACTCAGATGGAACAACTCTCTCCAAATATTAGTTCCTCACACACCTACACGACGTCTTCCCTCCACACTAAGGTGAAATAAAAGCGGACGCAACAACACAATCAGCAGCATCTATCAGTTTGGTGGCATTGCATGAACTGCAGAAAGAAAAACAACAACAACATATTCACTAAAGTGGACGTTCTCTCTGCATCATTGTATCCATGATCACAAACTCTAACAGTCAAAAGACGCGATAAACATTTGTTCAAATCAATTTACAATACCAAATACAAAACATCCATTCAACACAGGGAAATGTAACAGAGGAAACACAAAGAACGCCAGAGTATTCCTAGACGCCCAGTAATTGTATCGATCTGGAATTTTATCAATAATCAATAAGCACAATGTCAGTCATACGAGCATAAAGTCAACTATCACGTCAAACAAGGGGATCAATATCGACCTGTGCAAGTGGATAAAATCACAAATGAATCTACGGGAACAACCAATTACAGTTACGATGATCACCAACCAGGAGAGAAAAAATGTTTCACGTAGGAAAAGAAATAATTCCTGAAGCTCACTATTTCATATTGAAGTCAGTTTTGAACTTGTGTTGGCTAGAAGAATAATTAACGCGTCATCCAACTCACTCCGAGAATACAACAACAGTAAACAGCAAAACCAGTCATCAAGACTACAGATCATCACTGTACACAACTTTCCTAATAAATGCGTGTGTATGTGGGTGCCTTGCGCTGCGGGTTGGCCACCCCTCCGCACACCTCTTGAAATGCTCCCATATGACCGGGCGTCTTACATAGCCTCTCCTGAGGAAGTCCTACTCACTGCCTTCACGTGGCGGAGGTGTTTCTCACCAAAGTGAGAGGGCGAAAGCGGATGCCCGGCGCTCTCCATCGGGTTGACTGTCCATTGGATGACGGTCTAGGGAGATGGCTAAACCCTGATTCCAAACCTCCAACGACTGGCGTATGAAGCTCACTGGAGCTCACCGGCAGACGTATGGACAAAGGGCTTGTTGGATGTCCTGGATGTCTGGCCCCATTCAAAAAGGCGTGTGAACTGAACTCCGGTCACCGGCTGCCAATGGATAGTGGACTCCTTACTCCACTCCTGCTGCCTTGTAGGTCACACTTGGCTGTGTAAAGGCTAGAGCTGCACTCTCAAACAAAAGGCCGAGCGATGCTGGGGACATCACTCGTACCAAATTCCCATGAAACTTCATGAACTCTCTTACAAATTGCCGCGCCTGGGCAGCGATGATTCGAGACGTTCATGAAGCCGGCTCATCCTCCCGTAGGAGATAGCCGAAGTAAAGTAAAGTAAGTAAGTATGTGTCAGCAAAGGTTACGACCAAGATATAAATCAAAACGAAAAAGATCTACAGCAGATATATGTGCACCCTTAACCATCTCGACATTTTTAATCCTATGATACAAACATCAGGATTCGTTGCACTGGTCACCGACAAACTACTTCTAAACCACGCGCTCACAGTTAACTAACCCCATAGTAAGCCCAGAAGAAAGGAAGGCTAAGACTACCGTGCCACCACAGCTACTGAAACTTCAACTAAAACAAACAAATAAGTAGTAAAGCAGGAAACAATGCGGCCAAAAACGCTCACCTTCGATAAAAGACATTAATGTCCATCAATTGTGTCAATGTATTCAATGTTTGACTAGACATTTCAATAGATAATTTAAACACTTCATCCTTTAAGACATTGATGCTTTTCAAACAACACTTATGCTGTTTTAATTTCAACGCAGTCATTGAGGCAAATATTGAACTGTTGAATAAGTACGACCACTTTTGTTTACACCAATCACGTGTACTTTTCGAATTGACGATATCATTTTTAAATGTATGCAGTAAACGTAGCGTATTATTGATATGACAGCTGATTTGATCTTCTCTTTCCCCATCACCTTCTGTTTGACGATTACACGGACAAGAGGATAGAGATAGTTGTAAACAGTGAGCAATCAATTCCAACAACATGACATCTACTTCACTTATGATCAGGTATTCAAAATATTCTTCATAATCATCAACGTCATCCAGGTCAGGTAGGGGAATGAATACAGACGAAGCACAAGTTGACTGACTCTCAGGAGTGGTGGTCATGGTGACGGTGGTAGCAGTAGTAGGAGTAATAGTGAATTCATTATTAAATTGATTTAAGAATAGGATATTAAACAATTGCATAAATTGTTTCAGTAATTCACAGATATTAATTTTGTTTAACAATAAAAGAAGTTCATGACCAGATGAAGCTGCTTTTATTAAACGATACAGCATATCTATAAATCCCCGAACATGCATACTTTGAAGTGTAGGAGATTTATTCCCCGCTTTAAGAGTCGATGTTGTTGGCGCTGTTGTTGTTGTTATTGGCGTTGACTGTTCAATATTCGAATGTTTATAAATTAGTGACTGTAAATTATCTTTCAAATAACTTTGAAATACTTGTAAAATTGTGTTAATTTGAATGATACAATCCGGCTGTATAGGAAGAAATAATAAGGGGAAAAGCAGAGAAAATATACGACAGATTAGTTTTTGACAAGTGGATTAGCAGGACATACGTGCCGTATTATGTATGACAATAATAAAGTCAATCAAATTTAGACGC